AACACTTACGACACTATCCCACAAAAAGTTACTCCCTCCGTCCCACTGTCTTTGTCCACTTACCTTTTGGCACACCATCCAATGCACTTCTTTAATCCATTTTATCTTGTAATTTGTATATTAAAAAATTATAGAAATTATATATTAATAATCTATATGTTAAGACGAATCAAACAAGATCACACATGACTATTTTTAGGCTTACACATTGAGAGAATTTGATGAGTCAAAGTGCTTAGATGAACAGTTCCAAAAGTCAAATGTGGACAAAGACAGTGGAACGGAGGTAGTATTTACAAGAAATTGGAGGTTAGAGGGGCGTCCTGGAAGTGTGATTTTGGTTGTGAATTCTAAACAATGTTGTGCTAGTTGATGAGACGATGAGGGAAGGGTGAATGCAAAACTTAAGTGGTGGGGGCAAAACTGCAAGTTCATGGTTTGCACGTTAGCTGCTCTAATAACGATTACCTTGGGTGTAACTATAGCGTGAACCGCAATAAGTAGAAATTTGAACTGGAGCCAGAGTACCACAAGTTGATCATTTCAATTTTTGGGGCTTAATCATCCAAAGACAAAGAAAAAGAGCACAATAATGACAATATCACACTCTCAGATTGGACATGATGACCTTAAACCTCTGGGAGTACATGACCTTTGATAAGACTTTTTGGTCTCACTGTTCTAGGGTGGTAGAGCACTTGTAGGGATCACATTCGAGTGATGTTGAGGGCTGTGTTCTCTTTGCTCTTGATTGTTTGATGTTGTGTCTAGACTCTAGCTTGTCCTTTATTTGAAAGCTCCATGAAACAGAATTTTGATTCTCTAGGGTTGAGGTAAGTTCTGCTTACATCTTTCCCTCAAGACCCTACTTCTGAGTGGGAATACTTTGCTTGTTCGGTCTGGTTTGGGTCGCCAAGAAGCCAAATTTGGAAGTCAAATAGCAAAATAATATAATATGAAAAAAACATGTGAAGTCAAAATCGGGACCTAAATAAGAGATGGAGGGAGCATCTAATAGAGGTTGTCGTGTTACCTCTTGAGCTTGAGCAGGAGTGGCTACCTTTCCAGTCCCAATAGCCCAAACAGGCTCGTAAGCTAAAACAATGTTGGACCAATTTGAGATCTTTTCTGGAAAGAAACGTGAAACAAAAAATTACAGAGTAGATACACGAACATAACAAAAATAGGTAATGTAAGATCTATCTCTAGAGTTACAGATGTTCACAAACTACATCTAGCAAAGTTACACTTTAGTAGAGATCAATTCTAGCACGCAAAGAGTTACTAGTCCATATCGATAGTTTCAAATTCAGATGAATCAGATATGTACCAAAGATGGCTTTTGTTTGTGCAGCAACTACTTTCATTGTAGGGATTTTGTAGCTCCTGATTCTCGCTGCTCAAGAGTCTCTCCAACACAAGCAATGACTTTTAAGCCTTGGATAAGTGCATATGCAACTTTATCCCCTACAATAACTTTGTTAGACATTTAATTTTTGGACATATTGTGGTATGCGAGGAAATGATGTATTCATTAATTTCCTCTATGACTCTTATTATTTTACACTTTGACTAATGAAATTTATAATTTTGATAGAAAATTGTACTTTAAGTTTTTAAGGAAAAGTTTGAATTTTTTGTTTTATTTTGCCATCTTTATGTATGAAACACTATACATGTATGAAAATAAAAAATATATATTTTATTCCATTATTTTCTAAAAAATGAACTCCAAGAAAAAATACAGAGTAACAAATAAAATAGTGAACACAGATATATGTATGACATTTTAAGAATTATATTAACATTTTGTATATTTTTAAAAGTTTCAACTAATATGTAAACATTATATGAATTAAAATTTAATTGTATTTATTTTAATTTTTCAATAATAATATGACATGCATTATAGGTATGTTTTAGAAATTTGGATGACAAAAATAATCCTCTCCAAAATTATTTTTATGAGAGTTCATATAAAAATTATATTTATTTTTGGACTCATTTGAAAAATCTTTTAACTGTTCAAAATACAAAAATAATCTTCTCTCCAAAATTATTTTTGTTTATGTTTTACTTCAATTCTAAATAAAGTATTGATTCCTATGTACCCCTAGGTTTTTCATATACTCCCTTTGTCCCAATTTTTTACTCCGTATTATAATTTTTTTCTCCTTTCGATAATTTTTGTTTATTAGTAGGTTTTCATTGTGTATTTGTTAAAATAAAATATTTTTGTCACCTCTTATTTTATACTAGAAATTTTGACTTACGTTTTCAATCAGGGCCGTCTCTGAAAAATTAGGGAACCTAGATAACACTGAGAAAATAGGTCATTGTGTCACAAAGTAAAATTTATCAATAATTTTTTTTAAACAATAACAAACATTACTGTGTATTATAGTCATAAGGATAATAAAATATTAAATTCGTAGACTTATGAATCCATAATTACATACTTTAATAGCTAGTCGACGATTCGTGAAGTTTTTCAAACATTCTTGAGAGTAAATTGGTTGATGTATAATTTTTGATGTAATTTTTAAATATGTAACTTTTATTCTTTAATTCTATACCAATTTTTAAATAAAATGAATTGAAAATAATTAATAATCCGTAATAAATAAATATATCTACAAAAAAGTAGGACCCTCTATACAATTGGGCCCTACCAAAGTGACCAGTTTGCCCTTGGCTTGAGCTGACCCTATTTTTAATATATACGGAGTAATTTTTATTATTTATTAATGTAACAATTTATAAATAAAATAATTTTAAAAGATATAATATTTTATCTCCTAAGTCATAAATCTCAATTTATAATCAAATTTAAGAGGAAAAGAATAAGTTTTATATACTATAGTACTATATACTCGGTATAAAAATATTAATGCAAAGGATGAAACAAGAATTATACTCCGGTAATTTGGATGTCTAATATTTTTAATAAAAATAGGAATACTCATTAGAAACCTTTCTCGAACCATCTAGACGGAAGTAGAAGGTCGAATTCGAACCTCCATAATCTCCAGAATATACCAGAGAGAAGATACTCGAATGGCGTAGAACAGTCTAGACTCCCCAATCCCTCCTTTATTAGCTCCCCAATCCTTTCACATTTCTCTCGCAAGACTCGATCAAATCTGCAAAGTTTTCATCAAAAGCTCTCAAAGCTCTCTTATAGCGTTGTTTCATACTCTGCCTTTTGATTTTAACTGAAGGAAGACGGATATGGCCGGAAAAGGTGAAGGACCTGCGATCGGAATCGATCTCGGAACGACGTACTCCTGCGTCGGAGTGTGGCAGCACGACCGTGTCGAGATCATAGCCAATGACCAAGGCAACCGGACGACGCCATCCTATGTCGCGTTCACTGACACCGAGCGTCTCATCGGCGATGCCGCGAAGAATCAAGTCGCTATGAACCCTATCAACACCGTTTTCGGTAAGTTTCTCATCTTCCTCATGATGTCTCTGCCTTTAATATCTGTAAGTAGAGCGGAAATTCAATTTCTCTGTGATGCTGATGTTTATAGGCTTCGTGTTTTAATGTTCATTCATTACGTTTACTATCGATTAATCTCCAGATGATTTCTCAATTTTGTGGCCTGTAAGATCTATTTTCTGATTTGGATTCACAGAGTAATTTATTTGCTTAGAGCTTGATTTGGAGGAGCATTTGAATTTTCTGATCTTCATTCATTACGTGTGTATGAATTTTTCGTCGTGCTCTGAAATCTATTTTCTGAATTTGAATTACAGAGTAATTTAGTTGCTAATAGTGATTGGGAAGAACAGATGAATTTTCTGATCTACAATCATTACGTTCAGAATTAACGTGTCGATTGATTCTTATTTTCTCAATCGTGCTCTGAAATCTGTTCTCTGTTTTTGATTTAATGCAGATGCTAAGCGCCTGATTGGGAGGAGATACAGCGATCCCTCCGTGCAGAGTGACATGAAGTTATGGCCATTCAAGGTGATTGCTGGACCTGGTGACAAGCCTATGATAGTTGTGACATACAAGGGCGAGGAGAAGCAGTTTTCTGCTGAGGAGATCTCTTCCATGGTCCTAACCAAGATGAAGGAGATTGCAGAGGCTTATCTAGGAACCACGATCAAGAATGCAGTGGTCACAGTCCCTGCTTACTTCAATGACTCCCAGCGCCAGGCCACAAAGGATGCCGGAGTCATCTCTGGCCTCAATGTCATGCGCATCATCAATGAGCCTACCGCTGCCGCCATTGCATACGGTCTGGACAAGAAATCAAGCAGCTCGGGCGAGAAGAACGTGCTCATCTTTGATCTCGGCGGTGGCACTTTCGATGTTTCTCTTCTCACCATTGAAGAGGGCATCTTCGAGGTGAAGGCCACAGCCGGAGACACTCATTTGGGAGGAGAAGATTTTGATAACAGGATGGTCAACCACTTTGTTCAGGAGTTCAAGAGGAAGAACAAGAAGGATATCAGTGGGAACCCTCGGGCACTGAGGAGGCTGAGAACTGCCTGCGAGAGGGCGAAGAGGACGCTTTCTTCCACCGCTCAGACCACCATTGAAATCGATTCCTTGTTCGAGGGCATTGATTTCTACACCACCATTACCAGGGCGAGGTTCGAGGAGCTGAACATGGATCTGTTCAGGAAGTGCATGGAGCCCGTGGAGAAGTGTCTCAGAGACGCCAAGATGGATAAGAGCAGCGTCCACGATGTTGTTCTTGTTGGGGGATCTACCAGGATCCCTAAAGTTCAACAATTGTTGCAGGATTTCTTCAATGGCAAAGAGCTCTGCAAGAGCATCAACCCTGATGAAGCCGTCGCCTACGGTGCAGCTGTCCAGGCTGCCATTCTCACCGGAGAAGGCAACCAGAAGGTCCAGGACTTGCTTCTGTTGGACGTCACTCCTCTGTCTCTCGGCCTGGAGACTGCCGGCGGCGTTATGACGGTGTTGATCCCAAGGAACACCACCATTCCCACCAAGAAAGAGCAAATCTTCTCCACTTACTCCGACAACCAGCCCGGCGTCCTGATCCAGGTCTACGAGGGTGAGAGGACCAGGACCAAGGATAACAATCTGCTGGGCAAATTCGAGCTCTCCGGAATCCCACCGGCCCCAAGGGGAGTCCCTCAGATCACCGTCTGCTTCGACATCGACGCCAATGGCATCCTCAACGTGTCTGCAGAGGACAAGACGACTGGCCAGAAGAACAAGATCACCATCACCAACGACAAAGGGCGGCTGTCGAAGGAGGAGATTGAGAGGATGGTGCAGGAGGCGGAGAAGTACAAGTCCGAGGACGAGGAGCACAAGAAGAAAGTGGACGCCAAGAACGCCTTGGAGAACTACGCTTACAACATGAGGAACACGATCAAGGACGAGAAGATCGGCGGGAAGCTTGCCCCGGCGGAGAAGAAGAAGATTGAGGACGCCGTGGAGGAAGCCATCAGGTGGCTGGACGGCAACCAGCTGGCGGAGGCGGAGGAGTTCGAAGACAAGATGAAGGAGCTGGAGGGACTCTGCAATCCCATCATAGCCAAGATGTACCAGGGCGGCGGAGGAATGGGTGCTGCCATGGATGACGATGGTGCTCCGGCTTCCGGCGGCGGTGCGGGTCCCAAGATTGAAGAAGTTGATTAAATATCATGGATAATTGCTTCTTTTTTGCTTTCTCTGCTTACGTCATGGTCATTGTCTGTTAAGTGGTGAATTCTGGTGTTAAAAATGGTGTCTAGACTTCTATGTAATTTTGGTTCTGTTTTCTCCCGTTTTAATAACATCTTTTCCTTTGTCATCTAAATTTTGAAGTTAAAAATCTATTAGGATAACTAGAATTGAAAATATGTTGAACCAATTAAGCAGGAATTATAGTTCCACATTGCATAATAATGAAAAAAAGTAACTCTATAGCAGATTTTAATGGTTAAATGTTTCATGGGATGATTCAAAGCTTCTTACTATGGGGTACAAAAAACCAGGTTACTGTTGACCTGTCTGGTTATTGATTTCCACATTCATATGGCATCACAAACAACTGATATAATATTTCCATGAATCTTAAGCCTCCTATTTTCCGAGGAGAGGGCGTGTTTCGCCCCATTGTCGAACGAAGCCTCGCAGTGGTCGCCATCTTTCTGCACGGTCGAAGCCGCGGAGGCGACATCGTTCTTGACATCAGCAGCGGGGCGAGATCCCAGAAGCTGAGACGCGGCGTCCAGAGCCGCCACGGCGGCGCTGTAGTAATTGGAGCACTGAGAATAGGCCACCAGGTTGGGGTCATTGGGTTGGTTGAGAAGGCTCTTGATTAAATCTCCGGTGGCCACTGCGTCGGCGGCCGCCTGCGAGACGGCGGCCTTGAGCAGGCCGTCCGGCGATTGGGTGGGGCTTGCGGCGAGGACTCGGCGGCAGAAGCCGGGGTCTATGGTGTTGGCACACAGGGCTTCTATTGTCTTCTGGCATGTGTTTGGTTTAGCAGAGAAGATCAAAAGGCAAAGGGTTATTGGAATGGCTGCAGAGATTGAAACCATTGTTTTGATGTTTTCAGAGGGAATGGATCCCTATTGAAGTTTTAGATATGTAGTGTGATTTCATGGTATGTATGGTAATAAATTTAATAATTTGCCATTTTCAGCCTCATCTTTCCGCAAAAGTTTCCACATTCTCTTATGTGCATAAACGTAAATCACATAATTTCCGCTGTTATGTGAAAATAAAACCTTTTCGCAAGCTTGAAGAATACTACTCCATATCTAAATTTGTTTAGTTTGAAATTTTAGGTCAAACTCTAACAACTTTGAAAGTCAATAAAAAATATATACATAATGTATATTGGGATATAAATAATTTGATTAGATTTATCTTGTTAATTATTTTTAAAATTTTAATTTATTGCATTAATATGCAATATAAATTAAGAATAATTGATAATTAAAATTAGTTGAGTTTTACTCAAAAATATCAAATTGGACGAATATAGTAGAATAAAGGAGACTATTTAACGCGGTTTTATTTTTATACTTCATATCTAACTCTTTTGTCTTTGAAAAAAACTTACTCCGTAATATTTTTACTCTTAAAAAGTGTACTAATCATCATTTTATTCTTAAAAGCAGGAGAATTCCGCCCCAAGCTTTTCCCGCCCAAATCACATTCATTCAGCACCATTGATTTCATTAGATCTATGGTTGTCATTCATCTTCATAAACTACCAATTTAATAGATTCTATTTAAGGTATCACAATTAACTCTCACGTATTGGAATTAATGCGGCATACTAATTCATCATGAAATATCATTAATAGTATGAAATTAATAATAAATAAATATAATTAAATGGTAGATTGTACGTATTATTGTTTTTATACATGGTGAAATTTAATTAAAATGAGACATATCATATCGTCCCATTTCTAAAATTAACAAAATAATAAATAAATTTATAAATATAATTAAAAAATAAATAAATATAATTAAATGGGACTTTGACCATGTGTAATTATTCATGTTCCCATATAAATTATCACGAGTATAATTTGTAACATAAATTACGTTCATGAATATAGTATACTATATATGAATGTAAGAATAAATGGAAACATGTAAAACTGTGACTGTGTGAAACATACTCTCTCCAACTCTAAATAAACTTCCCTTTTTGACTTTTTGGGAAATTAAGGGAGGGATATTTTGGTGTTGACTTTCCAAAAATACCATTGATGTGATGTGTAAAAGTAAGATTTGATATGTAGATTATTAGTAAAAAAGTATGATGTGATAGGTAGGGTTTGAAAAAGTAAGGGGTAAAAGGGGTTTTTTAAGGGAAAAGAGAAGTTTATTTGGGGACAAAGAAAAAATGAAAGGGGAAATTTATTTATGGACGGAGGGAGTACTACATAAATGGTAGCGGCGTAACTAATGACTAAAAAATGTCAGGATCGTTAATAACCATATAACAGGTGGCCTTATTAAATGATACCATTAATAAAAATAATAATAATAATAGTCCGAAATTAAATGTTAATTTTACAGCACGGTACTTGGAGGAATACGGTAATGGTAAATAAATAAATATTCTAATTAAATGGAGTGTTCTAAATAAAATGGGGATGAATACGGTAATGGTAAGTAGATAAATATTCTAAATAAATGGAGAGTTCTAAATAAAATGGTAAGTTTTGATACAACATGGTACTTGCCTGTTTTGGAAGAGCGTTAGCGTTTTGAAAAGGCTATCTACGGGCAGCGTTTAGCGTTAGCATTTTCAAAATAATCTACACTGTTAAATTTTAATCCAAAACACTAACGTTAATCTCTAAAGCTATTCCCAAACAGGCCTACATGGAGGATTACGGTAATGGTAAGTAAATAAATGTTCTAAATAAATGGAGTGTTCTAAATAAAAATAAAAAATATAAATGGGACAAACAAATAACTCACAAACTTCACAAATTTGTCTTTTGTGGATGTTAAATTAAAATATCTTTTATTATTTAAGTGTACCTTATTTCTACTAAGAACTTAAAAAGACAAGTTTGTAATTTTTATGAACAGTTTCTTTGTGACTCTAGTATTACTCAAATAAAATACTACCTCCGTCCCAGAGTATTTTTCCACTTTCATTTTTACACACCATCCAATACACTTCTTTAATCCAGTTTATCTTATAATTTTTATATTAAAAAATTATAGAAATTATATATTAATAATCTATATGTTAAGACAAATCAAACAAGATCACACATGACTATATTTAGGTTTACACATTGAGAGAATTTGATAAGTGAAAGTGCTTAGATGAACAGTTCCAAAAGTTAGTGTAAAACATACTCCCTCCGTCCTAAAACTTTCTTCTCAGAGCACTATTCCAACTTCACGGGAATTTATATTTATTTGTGTTTTTTCATGGCCTATATGATAAAATAAAATATTTTTGTCACCACTTGTTTTGTTGAACTTTTGATGTAGTTTTTAAATATGTATGTTTTATTTTTTATTTCTATACCAATATTTAAATAAAATAGATTGAAAAATCTTGGGATTTTTCTTCGTTTTGCGAACCGAGAAGAAAGATATAGGACGGAGGGAGTAAAAGGTAACCAAAAGTTGTTACAAACGTAAATATTGTTGCACATTTATTATTAATTACCATACATAATGTCATTATTTATAATAAAAATTTTTGCATGTCTATTTTCTTTTCAAATCCCTTCTTGCATGTATAAACATTTGCTCCACCTGTGGATTTCTATCATCTATTAATTTTTAATTTCTACCCAAGTTTAAAAATAATTTTAGTACTAAAGTTTTAAAATTCATTTCATATGTAGGATTGTCCCAATTATTTAGATAAAAATAACATAATGTGTGATTCAACTTTAAAGATTATTTGTAATGATCCAAATTTTAAATGACTGCAATTTTCAAATGCAATCAATATAATTGATATATTGAATTTCATATTTAATGTATTTGTTTGTAATTTCTAAACCAATGTAATCGTTCAAATTGATAATTTGTAATCTAATTGATTTATAATAATATTAATTTAACGCAAAGTTCTTAGTTTTAAGTTTATATTTTTTAATTGCTATATACTTGTATTTGGGCAAGTGATTGATGCATATTTTTACTTCATTACTTACTAAATACTACATAAATTTCATTGTGTACCTACCTATTAACTGTACTGCTAATGTGACGTTTATTTATAGCGATAAAAATGTAGTTCACAAAAAATCAAAAGTCAAATTTCTTTAAATTTTATATTTTGATTTAATAAGCTATTTGTTGTTAATTTTACTTTTTAAATAATAAAATGATTAAATACTTTCATATTAAAAATATTAGCCGTGCAACGCACGGGAATAATACTAGTAGGTCTAATACAATGAAACATCACAATTTGGTATTGTGTATTAAAACTTCATACTCCGTAGTACGGAGTATAATTCTGTATTATGTGCTAGTATTAGTTTTACACTATAAATCCTATTTGTTTTAAAAACATTGAAGATTTATTATACTCCGTATGAAATATCAAATATGCTTTACTCCTAGATACTCTCTATTTTAATCTCTTTTTCTGTTTTGGATGTTTCAGTAAAAAATATCATTTTTGACTAAATTCCCAAAACAATACCCAATCACTTTGTGTTTTTTAAAATTAGTCTCTAAGATGAATTAAAAACTGAGATTGTATTCGTTAATTGAAAAAATGCTTAGTTTAATCTTCCGACTAACGGCATCAAGATGACGTTAAAACTAATTAAATTTGAAAAAATATTTAGTTCATTTTAGAAAATAAATATACATTAAATGTGTAAAAGTAATTAAGAATTTTATAGGATGAAAATATAATAAATAAAGCTATTAATATAATTTAATAAATTTGAAAATAAATGTTTAAGATTGTTTAAAATTGTTTTATAGATGTAAATAAATCATTTAATAAATATTAATTATTTAATAAATTATCTCAAATAGGAGTAAAACATACTTGCATTTGTCCTTAAAACAGGAGTTTTAAATTTTTATCTCAAATTAGGAGTTTGCACTGTGACATTAAGACACTATATAGTGACAACTTACTATATTTTTGATACTATATATTTATAATATTGGCATTGTACTCTCATTTTTGGGATAAAAATATGAAGCTCTTATTTTAATACTTTCTCTATATTTTGCTTCATGTTTAGTCTTTTTTCCCATTTATTTGCCCCCTGTTTTGGAATTTATATAAGTTTTACCACCATTTTGACAATGCTTTGATTGTCGTTAGTCAAAGTTCTAAACTGAGCAATATTCACAATTAACGAGAGAACTATCTCAAATATTAGTTTACAGAGTATTTTGGTGACTTATTGAGAAAAATACACAGTTTTTGAGCATCATTTTAGAAATCTACTTTTCATTTCTTATTTTAAAGAGATGAATTTATGACTCGGTAGAATTTTTCAACAAATTAAAAATATTACACGATTATCAACTTTTTAAAAAAGTTATTCTTATATTGATTGAGTAACCATAAGATATCCATATAAAAGTGACTCTATAAGGGGTGTTTCCATGCGCAAGTGCTTATTGGCTTATTAGGGTTTTTAACTTATAAGTTGCCTCTAAGTCAAATTTTTCGTGAAAGTAAAATGATTAAATGATAGATGAATCATTTGTAAATATTCATAAATAATGATGGACAATTTTATTAATAATCTGGTCAAAACGGAAATATGAAAAAAAAGTTTAAAAATAAATAAGTAACACTTAGGGGCTGTTTGTTTCAGCCTCTTAATGGTTCAGATGTCTGAATGGTTCAGCACTTAATGGTTCAGACTGTTTGTTTCAGCCTCTTAATGGTTCAGAAGTCTGAATGGTTAAGAGATTTGCCTCTGAATGGTTAAGTATTATACAGAGTCTGAATGGTTAAGACCTCTTATCTGAATTGATCAGACATTTGCCTCTGAATAGTTAAGCAATATACTAGCTCTTAATGGTTCAGACCTCTTACTGGTTCAGCACTTAATGGTTCAGACCTCTTACTGGTTCAGCACTTACCGATTCAGAAGTTGCCAAACAGCGCCTTACTAATTTTTTGTGTCCCACCACTAGACTTGGCAAAACAGATACGAACTCGATAACCTAAACTGAATAAATCAGAACCAAACTCGGAATAACCCGAAAATTGAAAAACCAAATTAAACTTGCCAGAAATGATCCGGTTAGATCCAAAACCGATTAGATCCAAAACCGGTTATATAATTTATATATACAGGGTCTAATCGGTTTTGGATCTAATCGGTTTTGGATCCAAATCTGATTGAACGCAAATCAATTACATATGAACCGATAAAACGCAGAACTGATTAGATCCAAAACCGATTAGACCCTGTATTGATCAAATTGAAAACAAATTAAACTCAAATCCAATCAAATCATTTGTTAATGTCTTTTCTAGAAAAATATATATTTAAATTATTAGTACAACTAATTTAATGTGTAAATCTTTTATTTTATATTTTATCACTTAAACTAAGGTTATTGTCTATTTTTCTATCGAGTATATATATAACTTATAATTACATCGTAACACACATATATTGACTCATTATTATTGACACGTGTATATATACCCTCTATACACATAGGGAGGGAAGACTACATACAAAGTTAACATTAGGAATTCTAATACGAAGAGATCTCATCTGAAACCGGCATAAACTCGAATCGATAAAACCCGAATCGGTATAAACTCGAACCAACTAAAACCCGAACTGAGAATCTATCAATTTTTTAATACCATTAGATTTAGTAAGAGTTTTCAAAATCTTAATTGAATACCTCTATATTTTAAATGATTTTTCAAGATCCTAATTGAATACGTGCTGACTTTTAAAATCCAAAAAAATCCAACAGATTTTTGATTGAATACACTCCCTAAATTAAACCCAGAATCAAATTGAACCCACCCAAACCTAGATCGGAACTGAAAAGATCCAAACCCTAAACGAATAAGCTATTGCCACAGGTCTACCCACCACTCGTCAGTCCGTCCCGGCTTCAATGATACCGCCTCCTAGCTTCTCCTCTCTTCATCTTCAATATACACAGTATACTATACACAGTATACTTCTTCTCTCCCCACCGCGTCCGTCGAGCCTCCGATTGTTTGCCATCGCAAGGTAATCTATAGCTCCTTTGATTTACTTTTGGGGTATCCATCTTTTTCTTCCCAATGCGTTATGAGTGTTTGCAATTGGTAATAGGAACTGCGTTTGGTACCCATGAATTGGTTATCACATGCTATTTTGACGTATTTGTTACCCATGAGTTGTTTGACGTTTTAGCTTTTAAAATCAGTTCGTATTAGCCTCTGCTTTCATCAATTTGAACATCTGAATAGTAGTATTCATTCCTATTGATTCTTTAAAGATCGATGCGTTTTCTATTATAAAACTGTCTAAAGCCATTTGCAGAGAAAAGAAAAAAAATGAGACCTTTGCGATTAAGTTCATTTGGGTGATTGATTTATGCTAGACTCCATAGAGATGTGTGTATTTCTTCAATGCTGAAGGTTACCACCCAACTTTAAATGGTTGTTCTTGATACCTTATTTCAAATCTGTTTCATCTCTTATGACATTGATTTTTTTTTTTAAAAAAAATCTGTGTTTTGGGGTTTTAGAACATCTTAATGGCACTATCCATGGGTATTGATCCTTCAGAATTAATCTCATATACGGAGTATGTTTTTCTCTATTGTTAACAGCTGTATTACCTAATCAGGTAAATACTTCATACTTGTCTCTCTCCTACTTATTTTTAGAAAATAGAGATCTTTAGTCCTCATTTCAGTTTCTATTCACATATTAATTTGACGTATCCATTCTCTTTTTATCTCCGGATCCCTTTACTTTCATGTGAAACTTCTCTATTCTCGGAATATTAGTCTAGGTTTACATGTCTCCTTTTGAAAATTAGGCAATAACTTGACTGTACCTTTCCGTTTCATAAACGAATTAAGCATGTTTTTTTAAGTCCACGATGAAGGGTTTTTTTATAGTCTCTTATAACAAGCTAGAATTTAGCAAATTAGGATTCCATACATTGGGACATACAATAGACATCCTTCATCACATCTCACCTTTACTTTGAAAGTATCACAGCTTTTGCTCATTTGAAATGATACACATAAACCCACATGATCAAACTTGTTGGATTGAAGGACAACTCATAATTCTAGAGCCTGGCACAATTCCCTACTACATAGGACGCAAAACCTGCAACTGAACGAGCTGCTTGTTGCACCACACAAAGGCATCCATCTGCACATCAAAAGCAGATGAGTGATAATGAAAAAATGCATCTCATGCTGTCTTTGCTCTGTGAAAAGTATAGCCATTCAAGGGTAAATGCTATATATCGCTGCATTACACATCAAGTTGGTAGACCTGCTATTGCTCTGTTTTTCAAATTTTCTTTCCTCGTGTTAAGAGTAATGATAGTACTTTCGCAAAATGTGATTTAGAGATAAATGAAGGAGTTGGTCCAATCAAACTAAAACATCATTCATATTTTAAACTTCTATTATGAGTCATCTTATTTCCCTTTTCTATTTTGCTGAACATTGACATTTTTTGGATGAACATAATTAGTATATGTAATAGGGAGTAGTATTTACATATCTTATATTTGTAAGATTGGGTACCCACACACATAGTGCATTCCCTAGCTAGTTTTGTATATAGGAAAGAGAAAATATTTTTGTGATAGCTTCGTCTAATTTTGATTGGATCCTGTCAAAATCTCTGACGAAGCAATCGTTCTCTCCGTGTTCATTTTTTGTCATTTGGTTTTCCGTGCATTTTTTTAATTATATTTTTGGCTCTTTAGAAAGATCATTTTTGTGGTTTTTTAAATATTACGGAGTTAATTATTTCATCTCATTTTTTTGGACTCTAGCTTTATCGCCTGCTCAATACGAATCTACCAGGTTTTGTGTTTTTTTACTATTTATAATCAACCTGAAGTGTTTTGTAAGATTTGCCATTAACAATGCGTAACTTTGTATCGATACTGTCCTCTACGTGTTCGGTGAAATGTCTAATCATTCAAATACTTTAAAATGAGACCCTTCACTTGATGAAAAACTCTATTTAAGGTATAGGAGTTCTGTATTCAGAGAAGTGTGCTTAAAAATTTTTGTAGTCATCAAGCATTCAAGCAGAGTGTTGTTGTTTGCTAGTAGAAAATAAATCATGTGATGAATTAATGAAATCCTTCCTTTTGGCTTCAAAAGAACAATTAAAATTTGCTTGAAACATCATCTTTTGTAGTCTCCTCCCGTGTTTGAGAAAATGCTTCCACCTTATGCATTGTAGGTGCTGCGAATTTCCATGAAAAACTTGTGAGAGATCAAGATATCCCCTTTTATCACTATTCGAAAGTCGGGTCGGCTAATATTGAAGTGTTGAGGGAAGTGATACTAATATGTGGCAGCATAGTGGGAAAGCCCAGTTCTTGAGAAAATTCTCCCAATTACAGTGGGGCTTTCAGTCATGTTCTTTCTCAGACTTTGCTCCAAAGAAGGCAAAGCTTGCCCCACTACAGGTCCGCGTGCCCTCCGTCTATGGCCTTGTAGACATCTGTAGTTTTTAGTGCTACACAAAAATGTTTCTCTTGCAGGAGCGGAGAATGATAGACCGCTTCCGAGTATGGGCAAAAGGAGGTGATGGTGGGAATGGGTGTAACAGCTTTCGTCGTAGCAGGCAAGATCGCTTTGGAAGACCAGATGGTTAGTTTTCACAAAAAAAGACCTTGTCTTCCTTGACATGCTTTTATCGATTTGTTTGGGGACTGTTTTTCGTTTTACTAACTCATTTCTATTTTTTATGATATGTTTAGTTAAATCATGCATTTCTATGTAATTTTTCATCTTTACTGTCTTTCCAACCATTTAATGTAAGAATTACTATATAAACCATATGTAATCGTTGTGATATGTTTTCCCCCTCATTGATACATTTTGTCAGGCGGAAATGGTGGACGAGGAGGTGATGTAATACTAGAATGTTCTCCGGCAGTTTGGGATTTCAGCAGTCTGCAGCATCACATCGTGCGTGTTTTTCCATCTTATCGACATATATTTGCCTATCCTATTCTGGTTTTAAGACAGAGTTGCATCTCATTCCATCCATCCTAAAATAAACTTCCTGCTTCCCTTTCTGGGTCGTCCCGAAACAAACTTCTCATTCATTATAACGAAAGTATTGAATGGTTCACATTATTTCTCCCTCCTCCGTATAAATCACAACCACACGATTTCACTTTTTTAAATGCCGTGAAAAAGGAAATGAGAAGTTTATAACCTGGGACAGATGGAGTAATAATCAATACTCTGCTTGGGTTGATACAAAGTATTTCATAACAATTTTTCAGTGATTTTCAGAATGCTAAGAGAGGGGGACATGGAGCTTCAAAAAACATGATAGGAAGCAGAGGCACTGACAAGGTTGTGCTATATCTGTTTTTCTCTCTTTAATTGCTTTCAAGTACTAATTGACAATACACCTTGGTTCCCATGACATTGAGAACCAATGTCATGGGATGACCCGGGGGTGCTCCGGTGCCCCATTCGTAAAATTGACGGTTCCTAACCCCCCGGTAAACCCCCCCCACCCCGCCCCGACCCGAACACACCCCCTAACCCCCTCCAATTGCACCCCACAAGTTGATTTTGACTTTGGAGTCAAATTTTTACGAATGGGGCAACGGAGCACCCCCGGGTCATCCCGACATTGGTTCCCAATGTCATGGGAACCGGCCTCTTGACAATATCACTATGAAGTTTTGTTTCCATAGGTTGTCCAAGTACCAGTTGGCACTGTAATTCATGTTGTGGAGGGAGAACTTCCATCTGCAGTTCACAAAACCTCTTCAACAACCTTAGCTCCTTGGGACATTCCTGGCACACTTAGTGCCCCTGTTTCATCGCAATCTTTACCCCCTTTCCACATGTCCCCCACCCCAGATCATCCTTTAAGCACAGGGCGGGAGGACGAAAGAAGTGGCGCGGAGTACAACGTAGTGGAGTTAACGGTGCCGGGGCAACAAATTATTGTTGCCGAGGGAGGGGAGGGCGGTTTAGGTAATTTGTCAAAGGCAAAGACCTCAAAGACGGTTGCCGAGGAAGGAGAAGTAGAAGCAGAAACAGCGAGTAGCAGCAGCACGGGGTCCACGGGGTCCGAGGTTGTTCTCGTGCTAGAGCTGAAGAGCATCGCCGACATCGGCCTCGTCGGGATGCCGAACGCCGGCAAGAGCACCCTCCTCGGGGCGCTATCGAAGGCGAAGCCGGCGGTGGGCCACTACGCCTTCACGACGCTCCGCCCCAACCTGGGGAACGTGAACTACGACGATTTCTCGGTCACGGTGGCCGACATCCCCGGCCTCGTCAGCGGGGCCCACGAGAACCGGGGACTCGGGCACGCGTTCCTGCGGCACGTGGAGCGGACGAAAGTCCTCGCCTACGTGGTGGACCTGGCGGCGGGGGCAGGCGGCAGCAAGGGGGTGCCGCCGTGGGAGCAGCTGAGGGACTTGGTCCTGGAACTCGAACACTACCGCCGGGGGCTGTCGGATCGGCCGTCCCTAGTGGTGGCGAACAAGATCGACGAGGACGGTGCGGAGGAGGTTTTGGAGGAGCTGAAACGAAGGGTGTGTGGGGTCCCTATTTTCCCGGTGTGTGCTGTTTTGGAGGAAGGAACCTCGGAGCTGAAAGATGGTCTTAGGTTGCTCGTGAATGGTATAGAGTCGTATCGGTTGAAGTTGGAACATATTGTTCTTGATTAGAAGGGTAGAAAATGTTAAAATAATCATCTTTTTTTTTTTGTTTTTAGAATAATTCTTGTACTCATATGTGTAGTATTTGTTCATTTTTTTTTAAAATCTCAATCCATTAAGAGCTGGATGTGGAAATAATACTCTAGTTAGTACTCACTCGGTCTTAATATTTTTTGGCCATTTTGTAATGTTTTTGTTCAATTTTTTATATCAAAAGTCATAGTGATCAATTGTGTTCTTTTTTTTACTTTGAATTATTTTTACTCTCTTCATTTTTATTTAATTGTTTGTTTCGTTTTGCGTGTCAAACGTTTGACTAACTATATACGGAGTATAAAAATATACAATGAATTAAAATATAAAAAATTATAAAAAATTATTAGTATCAAGAAATACTTTAAATATATTATTTTTAATATTTTTTGTTAATATTTTTTAAGAGATATTATTGGTTAAATAGAAATTAAGGGAGTTATCAATATTCAATGTCACTATCAGAGTTTGATTTTTTATCCGTTGTTACTCTTCTTTTGAAACTTTTTGACCACTTTTGTTCCTATCTTATTGCTTTTATTCATTTTTTATCAAGATCCAAAGTGATCAATTATGCTTATAGTGATCAATTATGCTTATCGCGAATTAAAATTATTTTGAGACAAAGAGAGTACAAAATAATGACATTTGTGTAGCAATCCAGAACCCAAAATTAGCTAGAAACCGGAGAAGGGAAGGGGACACAAACATCCGTTAACCATTCTGAATATCTGATTCTATCTTCCCGCAGCCAAGTATGCGGCATGAAACTAATAGCCATTCTCAGAGCGCAGAGCTTCTTTGGAGCATTTCGTCGAACAGTTGTCGTATCTCCGCCCGCCTCCTCCCAACTTCGTCCCCGTTTCAGTTTCTGCGCGCAAGTTCCATTTTCGTTGCCCGAATCGGAAGCAGAGAGTGTGCACAATCCGGCGGAAGATAAAGAAAACGAAGAAGAAGAAGGAGAATCAGAAGCCCAGAGCTTGAGTTCGAGGATTGAAAAACTACCCAGAGGAGAGGCGGTCGGGTCAGCCTTCCAGAGCTGGATGGGCGATGGCTTCCCAATCCACAGAGGCCATATCTTCCATGCCATCAACCGCCTGCGCAGGCTCAACTCCACCAAACGCGCTTTCGAGGTTCAATTTTTTCCATCTCTTTGTGTCTTCATCCCTTGCTAAGAATGCACGCCATGTGTTTGACAAAATCACTCAGAAGAAAATTTGCCAATTTCTTGGTAGGTGATGGAATGGGTGATCAGGGAGAGGCCGTACAGGCCGAGGGAGCTTGATTATTCATATTTATTGGAATTCACTTCCAGGCTCCACGGAGTATCCCAAGCTGAAATTTTGTTCTCTCGAATCCCCTCAGAATTCCGAAATGATTTGCTCTACAACAATCTGGTGCTCGTGTGCTTGGAAAGAGGGATGATAAGACTTTCACTAGCATATATGAAGAAAATGAGGGAGCTCGGTCTCCGGATCACGCACTTAGTGTTTAACCGCCTTATCATTCTACACGCCTCCCCTGGGAGGAAAAAGTCTATACCGAAAATTTTGATGCAGATGAAAGCTGACAAGGTGGCTCGGCATGTTTCCACCTTTAATATTCTGCTAAAGATTGAAGCTAATGAGCACAACATCGAAGGCTTGCTCAAAGTGTTTAGTGATATGGAGAGGGTTAATGTTCAACCTAATGAGGTAACTTACTGCATTTTAGCCACTGCCCATGCTGTGGCGAGGTTGTACACAGTGTGTGAAGCGTATGTTGAAGCCATTGAGAAGTCTGCAACTGGTAAAAACTGGTCTACATTTGACATTCTTGTTATCTTGTACGGGCATTTGAGGAAGCACAAGGAGTTGGAGAGGACATGGAGAATCATCCAAGAACATCCCCACATTAACTCCAAGAGCTACACATTGGGTATTGAAGCATTTGGGAGGATTGGTGATCTAAACCGAGCAGAAGGCTTGTGGGTTGAAATGAAACTAGAGAGGGGTTTGGAATCGATTGAGCAGTTCAACTCAATGATAGCCGTGTACTGCAAGCATGGTCTGGTGACGAAAGCAACCGGGCTGTATAAAGAGATGGAGGCTTGTGGATTGAAACCAAACTCTATAACTTTTCGGCATCTTGCTCTGGGATGCTTAAAAGCTGGGTTAGTGAAGGAAGCCATGAAAACTCTGGAGCTTGGGATGGATATGACGACAAGTACAAAGGTGAAAAGGTCTACTCCATGGTTAGAAACTACTCTAGCAATAATTGAAGTTTTGGCTGACAATGGGGAGATAAAAATGGTAGAGAAGTTGTTTGAAGATCTGAAGAAGGCCAAATATACCAGGTACACATTCGTGTACAATGCGTTGATAAAAACATATGTGAAGGCAAAGGTATATGATCCAAATCTTCTGAAAAGGATGGTTTTAGGAGGGGCAAGGCCGGATTCAGAGACTTACAGTTTACTGAAGCTCATTGAGCAATATGGAACTTGACACCAGAGTCATTGTCTTAATGTCTTCTGGTTCTTCCGGAATTGGAGAATGAAAAGAATGAATTACAAACTACGTTTCTCCGCTGTAATGCCTCATGTTCAACAAGGTGTATGAATTTCATCTTTTCTTTTTTACTTAAATGATTGCTTTACTACCGGGAAATAGTTTTTTATGCATTTTGTGCTCCACCCCTTCTGCCTTTTGTTGGTACCCAAGATTTAGTTTTTCTTTTCTCTGGTTTCCATTGCCAATGGAGCTAAAGAATTATATTTGACAATCTTTCGAGTTCAGGTATATATTAGTGTACTAGGAACCTTTTAACTATTAAAACAACACTCTGGTGGAACCAGAGATTCGCTATTTTTTTAGCTTTGGGTATGATGATGAAATAAAGCAAAATGGCTCTTTAAACTGCATGTGCTTCTTTTTAAATAGTTAAGTAACAATTAGTCAATGCAACTTTTGATGCTCACCATGGGTCATTCGGAAACAACCACTCTATGTTTTAAACATAGAGGTTAGACTGCGTAAATCCGACCCTCCCTTACGCCACAATGGGCAGGCCGCAGGAGCCTTTGAGGCACTGGGGTAATGTTGTTGTATATGAATGATCTATTTTTATGGGCCATCTCAAAGTCTAATATTAGGGAGTCATGACTAAGCCAAATTTATAAAGTTGCTCACAACTCATATTATAAAGTTTTGTGAGACTAAAACTTGCCACCATAGATCTACAAGGGATAGGAATCTCTGTCCTTACCAATTACAATTCTTACAGAGAGTCAAACAAAGAGAATGCTACATGCATGGAAACATTATTATTATTGAGTCTCTTCTTCTTCTTCTTCTTCTTCTTCTTCTTCCTTTTTCACTTGATATGGTTGAGGAACTCTGCTGCAGTTGCAATAGCACCACCTGTTATAGCATCCATTACAATTTTCTCTCTGTTGTTGCTGCTGGCTGCTGATATTAATGCCCCAGCTAGCGCACCCCCTACCATTGCATTCTTCTGCATCATTTAGAATGGACAAGTGAAAAAATGAGTAGCAATTGGAACAGACCAAAAGGAAAACATGCACAACAAATTAGGACCGAGGGAGCATGAATTCCCAACATACCCCCTTAGGTATAAGTGTATAACAAACATTATTCCAAATATTTGGTTACAGATACGGATATACCGGAGTATGAAATAGGAAACGCGAGCATTGACTAATATGTAGTATTACTATTGTATCATAATCCTTGAGTTTGAACATGTGCTTTGGGTCTTATTGCCAATGTCAATTCTATGCTGTTACTTTGTGTGTGCTACTGTGTCTACCTTGTCTGTGCTTTTGTATTTGAGCCGGGGTCTCATGGAAACAATCTTTCTACTAAATAGTAGGGGGGTAATGTTTGCATACATGACCATGACCCCCTCCCCAGCCGTGATTGTTGTGGGATTTTACTTGGTTGTTTTCATTGTAATCCTTAAATTTGAAATATTTTCGAAAATGAACAATTAAATCCAGAGAAAGGGAGTGAAATTACCCAGTCTCTTTCTCCGCGGATCCTCTCCACTCCATATTCCATTCCAGCATATACTCCAGCCACAGTTCCTGCAAATGTGACAAATAAAGACAATTAGGCAACACCAAAATCTCAGAAAAGAGATGCCAAACAGTTCTTTTAATGGCGATTCACAGATCATGTTGGTTGAACCAGCTGAGACGACCCACCCCAATAAGCGCCTTCTCTACACATTTTCTTAAACTGCACCAAAAAAATTCAGTCAGAATGTCTCACACACACACACAGACACACAAATAACGAACCCAGACAATGTGGATTCTCACCGAGTTTCCGAATTTCTGCTGTGAAACCTTTCCTGCAAAACAACAAACAATTGCTTCAAGAGTTAGCCAACTAAACCATCTACACAATTTTTTTTTTGCTTCAAGTTCAAACAAACACAAAAGTACTTTAGATCTTAGCTCACACAAGAACAAAAAAAAAAAAACCAACCCTTAATCCCAAGTCACCTACCTGGTTTGGCCATGATCAATAAGCTCATTAGTTGATTAGCTTATATCTAATTAGGGAATTCTGACACAAGAACATCATTAATTAACACTACTAGCTACTAGTCTACTACTACTCTGTAGCAGTAAAGACAATATAAAGGGGTACCTCGTTCTACCATGTAATAGGATTCCTCAGCAGCAGTTTTGACAGCAGCAACCTAAAATTAATTTTTTTTTATAAATTAAAAAAAAAGAAATTGTACTGATCGAAAAGGGAGAAATATTTATAGACATAAGAGTATATTAGAAGAGAGAGAGAGAGAGAGAGAGAGAGAGAGAAAATTACAGTGCCAATCTTCAAGAAAGCATCAATGGTGTGATTAAGGAATGGGTTTCCCATGTCGATGACAACGTCAACCTTAGGAGATGTGAGTGACGACCCTGCAAATCTGCTCCTCGGCATCTCCCGATTCTCTCTCTCTCTCTACTCTATCAATTGGACGATTGGTAATGGAGTATTAGAAAAATATCTCTCACACACAGACACATTTTTGTCATTTTGCTTTCATTATTTAACTTCTCTATCTTCTTTAGTAAAGCTCTTGGATACCACTTTTCTACTTTTGAGTAGCGGCAAAGTCTGTGTAGACACCCTCCCCATGCCCTACTTTTATGGGATCATAATGGATTGTTGTTGTTGTTGTTAGTAAACCATATTAAATCTATGTATTCTTCGTCATTGTCGATTGTTTATGTTCAATTTTTATAGCATATGTCGTAAAACGTTATGAGTGTTTGTATTTTAGTCACCTTCTATTATTGATTTCTATTCCTAATCTAGGTTATAATTAGGGAAATTTACCTAAGTAGTAGTAAAGCATAGTGACTTTCCCAATGTAATACCATATATTTTTTATTTCCCAATGTAGTACCACCGGTCATTTTCCACTAGTTATTGTTCAAGTAATGTCTACTGTCACTGGATATTGTTCAAACTAAATGTCCACCATCACAAGACATTGTTTCTGTCACTAGCCATTATTCAAGTACTATTTAGGAAATAAAAAACTTAAGTACTACATTGGAAAATGACATATGTTTTAGTACTATTTAGAGCAAATTTCACTTACAGTTATCTCTACATTTACTCTACCACGTATTCTATTATTTTATGAGTAATACTATTATTCTATTATTAAACCACTTTTTATTATGCTATATAGTTTATAGGGTCAATCAATTAATTATTATTATCTAATCTTTTTTAAAATTAGTATAAATATAATATAACTACCGTACAATAATCAATTACTCCATATCATTTAGTGTATAACCATTACACCATATATTGAACTATATAAAATAAATATTGATTTTTAATTCAAAAAATAACTTGTGTTTGCTGAACACATGTTTAATTACTGTCAAGTGGAAATTGAAAAAATAAGCGAACCTAAGACAACACTACTTGGTGTTCCGCAAACACATTTTTTATTGATTGGAATCTGATACCAAAATTCTTCACTTATACGTAAATGTTTCCATTTTTTAATAAGACAAAATTAAGGAGAAATGGTAACATGAAAAAGTGACATGCGCCCATGGTAAAGGGCCAAAGGTTGAATGGTTTTGTCATTTTGCATACCTAATACAGAATACATCATTCCATTCATCCCATAATATTTTTTCTTTCGAAGTATTTAAATTGTTCCAAATTTTCTTCCTCTTTTAGGTATCTATTTATTGTCTTTCCTCTACTCAAATCGTACCAAATTACATTATACTTTATTGAAAATCGTGTCAAGTCAAATTTAAAAGATACTCTCTTCGTCCGGAAATGTTCTTCCCATTTGACTTTTTACGGTTTCCAAGATTACACTATGACCACTAATATCTTTATTTATACATGGATATATTTTATAAAAAATTGATATTTGAAAACTATATTTCAAAATGATTATATTCATATTAAAGTTATATTCTAATACAATGTATTTTTTCCACATATCATAGTCAAAATTTACAAACTTTGACCAAGAAAAATCAAATGGGAAGAATATTTTCGGACAGAGATAGTAATTCCGAAACGGAAGGAAAGAATGCATCTTCATTGATCCAGATCGATTGGTGTCAAATTTAAATTAAATGAGTGGGTGTTAAAAGAATAACGTCAATTTGCATCCTAAGTTTGACTGGTACGGAGTATTTATGTGGAGCTCTCTCCCTTATTTTCCCCACTTTAGCTTATCGTACCACTGACCATATTTGGAGAAGCTGTGATGATGGCGGACTTCCGCCGTCGAACTTGTTGGGAAATTGAAAAAGAAAAAAAAATAAGGAAGAAGACAAAGAAGAAAGAAAAAAAAGATACGGGTATCATGCATGTATAATGTATGTGAAGATGTGGTGTTGATGGGTCATTGTCATTTTGTTCTTGGTTGGCGAATTATTGCAGGATACTCCATACTCCCTATATAATTGGGTGTGTTAGAGAGATGAAAGAATTATTTTGGAGGAAATTTTCTGAATTACTCTCTTGTCTCTACAATTTACAATAAGGACATATATATAAGATCTCACAAGTTGAGAGTCCTAATCAGTAAAGGAAAAGGAAAAGGAAAGAATCTCTATACAAGGAAAACTACCAAAACAATATATACACAAATATCTCCCAATATTCTACCAAATATTCTCTTTCCTTTAACACCCCCCTCAAGTTGGAGCATGTAGTAACGAAATGCCCAACTTGGGAAGAAGAAACTCCAAACGGGACTTTCCGAGTGCCTTTGTATGAATGTCTGCAAGCTGATGCGTAGTAGGCACATGAAGTGTACGAATCTCTCCTCGCAATAGTTCATCACGAACGAAGTGACAATCAATCTCAATGTGCTTCGTGCGTTCGTGGAAAACCGGATTAGCAGCAATGTGAATAGCTGCCGTGCTGTCACACCGGACCGTCATGGGGTTCTTATGCTCAACCCCTAAACACCGCAATACATTCTTCAACCACTTCAACTCACATGCAAGGACAACCAAAGCTCTATACTCCGCTTCAGCAGACGAGCGAGCCACCGTCGACTGCTTCTTTGTTTTCCATGAGACAGGCGAGTCTCCAAGCTGCACGAACCACCCTGTCAATGACCGCCTTGTCAAAGGACATGCTGCCCAGTCCGAATCACACCATCCTGTGAGTTGAAGACTACTCTCTGCTGACAGAAAAATGCCCTAACCCGGACATCCCTTCAAATAACGAACAACTCTGAGTGTCGCAGTCCACTGATCCTCCCTTGGTTCCTTCAAAAACTGTGCTAAAGTGTGGACGGCGTAAGAAAGTTCCGGTCGTGTAACGGAGAGATAGACCAATCTTCCTACCAGCGGTCGATATGGTTCTGGATCTGCAAGAACCGGGGCTTGGGAACGAGCCAAGTGATGATTTGGCTCCATCGGGGCACCCAACGGCCTGGCACCTAACAACCCCGCCTCAGTGATGATATCTAAGGCGTACTTTCGTTGGCAGAGAAAAATCCCAGACGTGCTCCTCGCCACCTCAATGCCAAGAAAGTATTTCAGTGTTCCCAAGTCCTTCATATGAAAACAATCTCCGAGATAGGCTTTGAACTTGCTTACCATCTCTGTATTATCTCCAGCAATAATCAAATCATCAACATAAACCAATACATGTATGACTCCTTTCTTTCCAACAAAAGAAAATAAGGAGTAATCAGCAACAGATTGGACAAACCCATAGCGTTTCAAGGCTCCAGACAACTTGGCAAACCAACACCTTGGAGCTTGCTTTAAGCCATACAGAGACTTCTTGAGTTTGCACACCACATTAGACGAATTTGAGAAACTAGGTGGCAATCTCATATACACCTCATCCTGAAGATCTCCGTGTAGAAATGCATTGTGAACATCCATCTGATGCAATTCCCACCCCTTAACTGCTACAATTGCCAAAAGCGTTCTCACAGTGGTCAACTTGACTATAGGAGCAAATGTTTCCTTGTAGTCAAGTCCTTCAACCTGGTGATTGCCAAGTATAACAAGTCTGGCCTTATATCTCTCCACACTTCCATCGGATTTGCGCTTGATCTTATATACCCATTTGCAACCAAGGGGCTTTTTATGGCGTGGAGGAGAGACAAGAGACCACGTTCCATTAGCCTCTAGTGCATCAATCTCCTCTCTCATAGCCTTCCTCCATCGTTCATCTTGAAATGCCTTCTTGAAACTTGTGGGCTCCACTCCAGCATTAAGTGCGCTGAGAAAACACTTGTGTCTGTCAGAGAACTTCTCGTGCGTGACATACGAGGTAAGAGGATATTTGCATTTTTCACCAACATGTGAACCAGCTACATGGGTAACATAATCGGCAAGGCGTACATTTGGACGTTTCTCACGCTGACCACGTCCCAAGTTCTCCACTGTCTGCTGGGAAGAGGACGGTCGACCGCCGTCCTTGAAACGGTCCACGGGGTCGACCGTCTGAAGCGGTTCTGGATCGCTAACTTTCTGCCTCGGAGACGGTCGACCGTCTTCCACATCACGGTCGACCGTTTGATCATCTCTCAAAGAAACGTCATTCTGCCTCTCAGACGGTCGACCGTGGATATCAGAACGGTCCACCTGGTCGACCGTTTGGTCATCTCTCAGGAACCCGTCATTCTGCCTTTCGGACGGTCGACCGTGGACATCAGAACGGTCCATCAGATCAACCGTCTGTAGCCGGTCTGCTCTGCTGCTTTCCTCCGGTCGACCGTCCCTTCTGGAACGGTCCATCTGTTCTTCCGTCCGCAGTTCTTCATCTTCATCATAAAAGATAACCTCATTTGTACTTCCTGTATCATGAGATGCACCTGTAGGAGTCAAGAAATGAAAAATATCTTCACAGAACACAACATCCCGGGACACCTTAATTTCCCCAGTGTCCGGGTAGTAAATACGCCAACCCTTCTTCCCTTGTGGATATCCGACAAATATCCCAGGATTGCTTCTTGGTGCGAATTTATCTCCATTCCTCTTCAAGTTATGTGCATAACATCTGCATCCAAAAACACGAATATGAGCCAAAGCGGGTGGCTTTTCATAGATCTTCTCGTATGGTGTGACCCCCCTAGCAAAGACGAGGGTGTGCGATTGATCAGATGTGCAGCAGTTTGTATACATTCTCCCCAGAACTCAATCGGAAGACCAGCCTGAAACCTCAAAGCTCTACCCACATTCAAAATGTGTCGGTGCTTGCGCTCTACTCTCCCATTCTGTTGTGGAGTAGACACACAAGACGTCTCATGAATAATTCCTTGCTCCCGGAAATATTCGTTTAGACATTCAAATTCTGTACCATTATCACTGCGAACACACTTTATTTTCTTCCCAAATTGTCGTTCTACCATAGCACAGAATTGTTTAAAAACAGTACCAACCTTACGTTTGGAATCAAGCAAATGTACCCAAACACCTCTTGAAAAATCATCTACAATAGTCAAAAACATTGTAGAACCATCAAAGCTTGGAGTCCTATACGGTCCCCATAAATCACAATGTATCATATCAAATTTATCAACAGATTGATAAAAACTTATAGGAAAACTCACACGAGTCTGTTTAGCATGCAAACAAATGTCACAACAACTGTGACTACTCTTACTTGTTCCAACTTCAGGAACAAGAGACAAAACATGAGAGGAAGGATGTCCAAGTCGTTTGTGCCAAAGATCAAACTTACNTACACTTATTGTTGGCAAAACGTGCCTCACAATTCGAATCCCTTGTCAATTGTGACACAGAGATTAAATGGCAACTCAAAGTGGGGACATATAAAACATCATGTAGAATTAATTTTTCTGTCAAATTAATCTTCCCCGATTGGACAGAAACAATTCTTTTCCCATTGGGCAAACCAATCTCACACGGTGATATTCCCACAACATCATACAATAACGAAATATCACCAGTCATATGATTTGATGCCCTAGTATCTATAATCCACCGCGGTGATACAGGAATACCTGAAAGCTTCAAACTAGAAACACACGATGATAGCGAGAAAAATATCTTCCTTGGTTGTTCATCGGCCATGGCGGTAGTAGAGTGGCGTACGGCATTGGCGGAAGAATCAACAACAACATCAATCAAACAATCTGCCGACGGGACGGTCGACGTGCTCGACCGTTCTAGAGCAACGGTCGACCGTTCCGTTATCTGGCAACAACAACAACTGACTAAAACTGAGCAACGATCGATGGACGCCATGCCGGGCGATCGTGAACTGTAGTCGTAGAAAAATTTCTAGAGTTTTGGCTCCGATACCATGAAAGAATTATTTTGGAGGAAATTTTTTGAATTACTCTCTTGTCTCTACAATTTACAATAAGGACATATATATAGGATCTCACAAGTTGAGACTCCTAATCAGTAAAGGAAAAGGAAAAGGAAAGAATCTCTATACAAGGAAAACTACCAAAACAATATATACACAAATATCTCCCAATATTCTACCAAATATTCTCTTTCCTTTAACAAGAGAAAATGTGTGTGGGTTTTACACACCACCAAGGTAGAGAGAGAAATATGGGAAGGATTCTACACAAGAATACCACCGGAAAAATTCAAACGGTCTTGGTGAGTATGGGTGAGTGTAGGGAGTAACTGGTTTTAGTTACTCGGAATAATGCATCTGAGCATAGGATGTGGAAAGATCTGTTTTTAAGTGTCTGGAATTCAGCCTTGTAAACAGGGGAGAGTTTTTTGTTTATTGTCTTTAAATAGTGGAAATATAATTTTTTTTCTCTCTTATATTCTTCTTTTGTTTGTTCTCTCATTTTTCTATTGTTCTCAATATTTTTCGGTATCTTACGTGCTTAAAATCCCAACAATGGGTATCCGAGCTTGGTTGCGCTGGGTAGGAGGGATTTAGAAGTGGTAAAAGGAGAAATTTTGGGAACCCAGGGACTCGTAAGTTTTGGCTAGAAGGCGACCATGGGACTTCAAGAACAAAATGGATGGCATGAGGACCGGGTACGAAGCGGCATGCTCGCTTTGAGAAGCATGGTGCGGGAACAGGACTAGAGGAGATCGGTGGTCTAGCGGAGTGGAAAACTGCGGTTTATGTCTTGTGTCGAAAGTCTTCTCGGCAAGAAGAGGTCGGGCGGCGTGTCCCGGAGGTGTTGCTGCGGCGGTGCAAGATGGGCAGATCGAAAGAAGCTAATTGCTAGATGGGTGGTCTCAGAGAGTGTTAACTTTGGTGAGTTGTCATTTTTTTAGCTCGGGGTGGAGGGTTAAAACTCTAAGGAGCTAAGGTAGTGGCGGTGATCTTGACGGGTTTGTTGAGATGGAGCCACGAGTACATCGATAACTGAAAATGGTGAGGACCTTGTCGTATATATTGAGCAAGGTGAGGCCACGACCATGAGTCAACACATGGTGGCGGAGAGCTTGCGGAATTGAGCAAGATAGGGCATGAAAATTTTTTCAAGGTGGTAGTGATCTTGGTGGATGGACCAAGGTACGGTGGAGCCACGAGGATTTTTTTTTCTTCTTTGAGGTTGGCAGCGGTGATCTCGTGGAGCACACTGAGATGGCGCCAAGGATATTTTTTTTCCGGAGTAGCGCTGATCTCACCGGAGAAGTGAGGTGGAGCTACAAAGTTTTTTTTGATTATTTAATCAAGGTGGAGTTTGTTGGGAAATTGATTAATAATCAAAAGAAAAGAAAAAAAATAAGGAAGAAGACAAAGAAGAAAGAAAAAAAGATACGGGTATCATGCATGTATAATGCATGTGAAGATGTGGTGTTGATGGGCCATTGTCATTTTGTTCTTGGTTGGAGAATTATTGCAGGATACTCCCTATATAATTGGGTGTGTTAGAGAGAATGTGTGTGGGTTTACACACCACCAAGGTAGAGAGAGAAATATGGGAAGAATTATACACAAGAATACCACCGGGAAAATCCAAACGGTCTTGGTGAGTGTGGGTGAGTGTAGGAAGTAACTGGTTTTAGTTACTCGGAATAATGCATCCGGGCATAGGATGTGGAAAGATCTGTTTATAAGTGTCTGGAATTTAGCCTTGTAAAATGTGGAGAGTTTTTTGTATATTGTCTTGAAATAGTGGAAATATAATTTTTTTCTCTCATATATTCTTCTTTTGTTTGTTCTCTCATTTTTCTGGTGTTCTCAATATTTTTCGGTGTCTTACGTGCTTAAAATCCCAACAGAACTCGCGCAACCACCACTAGCAACCACCAACCACCATCGTCTTCAACTCTCAACCTCCATCACGCGCGCGCACACACACAGATATGCTCCAGTGAGCTAGGTATACTCCGATCCCTCTGTCCCGGAAAACTTTTCTAGTTCAGACTTTTGGGAAGGGAAGATATAGAAGTTTGACCAAAGTGAAACGACGACAATTGAAACAAGTTGGGCTCGAGAAAAATCAAAACGGGTAGAGCGTAGAAGGTAGTTGAGATGTGTTCGGTTAGATTTAAGAAAAGTAAGGGCAATTGTGTCCATTTAGATGAAATTGAAATGTTTCATGAGACGAATAAGAAGTGAAAATTGAAATGTTTTAAGAGACGGAGGAAGTATATATTATTGTCATAGCGAATTAATTTCCAACATTTAGGAAGCATTACAAAACATCTATAGCAGTTGTGTATTTGATTTGTTCAGCCAATCCAAGTTGATATGATTGATTTCATCATGATGTTGGGCAACAATTAGTCTGAGACTCCGTTTGGTACACGAAATTCAAACGATAAAATTTAGGAATTCAAATTAAACAATTCCAATTCTGCTGTTTGGTACAACAAATATATGTGGATTTGGAATTGACAGTTTCAAAAAATGAATTGAAATTCGGAGTAGGGGCAAGGTCTGCGTACACACACCCTCCCCATACCCTACTGTAGTGGGATTCAACTGGGTTGTTGTTTTGTTAATTCCATCCGAATCAATTTCCATAAAATTTTAACTGTCAATTCAATTTCAATTCCGTCAATTCCGTGTAGCAACCGAAACTTGAATTGAATTCCTAATGAAGAGTGTAACATTGTTATGAGACAAAGACAGTAATAATAAAATTAATTAATTAACCAAGAAAGCAACGCAACACACACATTGTGATACACACAACTAGTAGTGATACATATAGGGAGTAGTACAAATATATCGAAGGCCAGGCACAATTTAAATGCACTTCTCTCAACAGAAATTACAACATTATTGATACGATAAGACGACGAGTACAATATACGGAGTATAACTAACAATACATACCCCATGCATGCAGGAGTAGGTACGTCACGTTACATATATTAGTGGAATATTAAAACCCACAGACATATATAGCCCGTTCCTGCAGCTGAGCTTATCCATATATATATATATATATATATATATGGCCGCCTTCAAAGACCGTTTGGAGGTCCTGTGCAAAAAAACAAAAAACAAAAAAGGGGTTTCCATTAAAATATGAGTGTTTGGTTGTTTTTAATTCCATTAAAATATTGAATGTATACCATTATTATGTGTATTTGACCATACTCCATATTACTCCCTCCGTCCCGGAAAACATGGGAGTTTTGATTTTGAAGAGAGATTTAAGGGGAGTGTATTTTGGTATTGAATTTCCAAAAATGTCCTTTGATGTGATGGGTAAAAGTATGATTTGATGGATATATTATTAGTAAAAAGGTATGATGTGATAGGTAGAGTATGAAAAAGTAAGGGGTAAAAGTGACTTTTTAATAGAAATGAGAAGTGTTTTTTGGGATGGATGAAAAAAGAAAAGGAGAAAGGTTTTCAGGGACAGAGGGAGTAATTTTTTTATGATCTATATCTATATATATAATCGAGATATATATTAATGGTTAAAATTTTGTATTTGAGACCGTAAAAAATCAAATAAAAAATTTGATCTATCTTAGGACGGGGAGGGTGTATATACATATATACTCCCTCCGTCTCACAAAATATTTATTGTTTTGATTGTTAAGAGATTTAAAAGGAGTGTATTTTGGTGTTGACTTTCCAAAAATGTTCTTGTATGTGATAGGTAAAAGTAGATGTGATTGGTAGATTAGTAGCGAAAAAGTGTTATGTCATAGCTGGGTTAAAAATTAATATGGATAAAAGTGATTTTTTCTTATAGAAATTTAAAAAGTTTTTTGGGACAAATAGAAAAAGAAAGGAGAACGGTTTTGTAGGACGGAAGGAGTATATATATATATATATATATATATATATATATATATATATATATATATATATATATATATATTACTGACCTGGGCTTGGTCCAGATGGTGGATAGGGGTTTGATAATAACTTCCTCATTTCCCATCCATTATTATCAAGAACCGGCCGTGCTTGAACCGACGGAATATTATTTTTGAAGCCGCCGGAGATGAGCAGAGCGGCGGCGGCAAGCAAGAGGAAGTTGAGAAGGAGACGACGGAGATGATAATAGGCTCCCTTCATCTTCTTGAATTGACCAGCTAGGTTGATATATGGATGAGTACTTGGGTACGTGTATTTATATATATATTGAGGGTGTTTTGGTAGTGTGTGTGTGTGTCAACACACATATATATACACATCACACATACCTCTTTCATTAAAAAAAACTTCCTTTTTGACTTGTATGAAAGTTTATGGAATATTTTGACCAGGGCGGCCTCAAAAAATGAAAAAATAAAATTGGTCCAGTTTGAAGTTTACATTTTGGATTCTATTTTGTTATTTGAGAATACTTATGCTTCAAAATTAATGATGAATTTAAAAATATGAGACCCTAAAATTTTAAGGGGCCTTTGCGGTTGGCCACTTTGCACACCCTCCAGGCCACCCATGATTTTGACAAATTAAAAACTTTAAGAGTAAATTCTATAATTGGTCATTTATAACAGGGGGGTTTCCCTATTTAGTCCTCTATTATCAAATATTATCCCAGTGGTCCTTCTTTTATGGGTACCTTTCCACAAATAGTCCTTTTTTGATCTTCTATCATGTTGGTGTTAATTTGAGGGCTAAAAGTGTATTTTCACAATGATAATATATTTTTTTTGTCATACACAATTCCAAAGGCTGTTCCGTTTGCATCGTTTGTGAATTACAGACGCTTTTTACGACAACGATAGTCTACAAATGTGATCTTTCGTCAGAATCCTAGCCCACAATCATAGTCATTATTTTTGTGTTATCCGCTTAACCAATATTAGAACACGTCACTAGACATAATGTTGATGTCAAATTATACTTTTAGCCTTTAAATTAACACCAACACGGCAGAAGATCAAAAAAAGGACCATTTGTGGAAAGGTACCCTTAAAAAAAGGACTACGGGGATAATATTTGATAATAAAGGACTAAATATGGAAACCCTCATGTTATAAAGGACCAATTATGGAATTTACTCAAACTTTAAATATGAGCAAAACATACTATATACCATTTATTTAAAAAATAACAATATAGTAATATATTTTTATCTTAAAATAAGACTTTTTCACCATAACATTATCGCGAAATTGTATATTGTTATTCTCCATTATTTTTTTCGTATTATATGTTTGCATCATAAGTTACATTTTGAGATAAAAACATGAAACTATTATTTGAGTTTTTTTCTATTTTACTCCTATTTTAATTTTCTCTCAAAAATTTATGGCAGCTAGAATTCTTAGAGAAGAGAATGATTATGAGCCACTCTTTTTTTGTTTTTAAAAGATAACAAATAAAGCATTAAATTTTTATGGAATAGATAAAAAATGGAAGAGTAAATTCTTTTTGCACGCTGGAAAGTATATACATGTCACACTGATGATGACAAGCTATAGGAAAAAGCCCCTTAGCCAAACTTTTTAATACTCCATTTTTTCCATTTTGAATGTTTCAAAAAAAGGCAATGCTAGGGGTACACCAACATGGGGTACCCCTAGCTTAATTATTCAAAAAACGCTTCCCGTTCGATAAATTTCGTTTTTAGTATTCCATAATAAGTATGTGATTTTACCAGATTTTTCTCTAATCGAAATATGTACTCTCTGTCGTGATTTAATCTTCTCATTTTTTATCCGATTTTAATCTAATCATTTTTCAATTTTTATATACATGTATGTTTAGAGAAAAAAATACCATTTTTTCTCCAAGAGTATTTTGAACAAATTTACCATATATTCAATCTTCCTTAAAAATTAGAAAAAGTCATAACATGAACTTAAATCCAGAGCATATTCTATCGGTTGGAAATTAAGCACACAACACACACAAATAATTTGGGAGAAACAAGAGAAACGAAACACGAGGCACACAAGAATTTAACACGATTTGGTTTTCCTAATTCGCGACTGTAATATGAGGAATTTTCTTTCACTTGTGGTCCCATGAGATTACAAGCACAATATTTCTATCACCAAGGTTCCCATGACATTGGGTCCCAATGTTATGGGATGACCCGGAGGTGTTCCGGTGCCCCGTTCGTAAAATTGACGGTTCCTACCCCCCCTAATTCCCCGGTCCCCCCACCCCGCCCCAACCCGAACACACCCCATACCCCCGTCAATTGCACCCCACAAATTGATTTTGACTTTAGAGTCAAAGTTTGACTCCAAAGTCAAAATCAACTTGTGAGGTGCAATTGATGGGGGTAGGGGGGTGTGTTTGGGTCGGGGCGGGGTGGGGGGTTTACATGGGGGGGTTTACGGGGGATTTAGGGGGTAGAAAATGTCAATTTTACGAACGGGGCACCGGAGCACCCCCGGGTCATCCCATGACATTGAAACTCAATGTCATGGGAACCCCACCCTATGTCTATATATAGGAGAATAACTTCTTCAGTTTCAATATTGTAGAAAACTGGACCCGACATAAATGGAGCCTCTACTCCATTCGCTCTGAAATAAGTTACAATCTTGTTTTCTCTCTCATCTCAATAATTCTTGTTTATTTGTGTGTTTTCATTGAATATTTTCATAAAATAAAATATTATTGTCACTCCTCGTTTTGTAAAACTTTTGACGTAATTTTTTAATATATATTTTTAATTTTTTAATATATTATTGATGTATCACTTTATAAATAAAATTATTTTAAAAGACGAAAAATTTTACTTCTTAACTCCCAATTTCTAAATAAATTAGGGAGAGAGGGAGTATATTAAAAAAGTTAAGCACGAGAAAGAAAGAATCGAGAAAAGAACAATAAGCTGCATTTCAATAATTGGTGTCTAGAAGAAACAAATGATTATTCCCTCCATCCCAAATTATTTGTCACATTTTTATTACCGAGACAAAATATCAAATTTTTTAAATTCATTTTATTTACATATTGGTAAAGAAATAAAAAATAAAAATTACATATCAAAAAATTACATAAAAAGTTCTTCGAAATAAGAAGTGTCGAGAATATTTTATTTTATCACATAACCAATGAAAGCTTAGAAATAAACAAAAATTCCCACGACTGTTGAAAAAATAAATGCGGTAAATAATTTGGGAGGAGGGAGTATTATTCTTGAAAAGGATTATACTATGTGTACCCCAAGTTTTGTACCCCAATTTGTACCCCGCAGTTTTGCACCAACATTTTGTGTTGGTGTAAAACTAATTTTTGTTAAATGCACCAACATTTGTGTCCGTGTGAATTTTTATTAACGCACCAACACTTGTGTCGGTGTAAACTATCGAAATGTTTGTGCAAACCTGTGGTGTACAAATGAGGTATATTTTTTGGTACAGGTGTAGCATGGTCCTTCTTGAAAATGATCGTTCTTGCTAATTTAAGTCAAGTTTGTGGGACCCTATATGAAGAAATATGTACACCAGCAAGGACTTATTGTACCTCGGTTATCATGGACCCTAATTGGCACCTAAACCTTAGGGGTTAGATTTTTGTGTTAATTAACTCTTCGAGCGCTTTTGTGGTAAATCTAAACAACAACGACTCATGTCACAATTGTAAAATCTAGAGAGTCTGTACGGACTCATTTTATTTCTGAGTTTATTGCACCGTGATTTGGTAAATATATATTGTTACTGTTCATGGTTTTAAAATTTACACTGTTATTCATCATGATTCTGATATTGCTATACCAATGCTTCACTGCACAAAAATATCTTTCAAATATTAGGTGAATAATTTCACTGTTCTCTATAGGTTGGAAATATGTGCCAACACACCCTTTCCTTTTTCTTTACTTTTTTTCATAAAGAGAATAAAATGTTTGTGTGTTAAATAATGAATTTTTTTTCAAAACTATTTTTTGAAAAAGTGCTTAAAAATAAAAAATATTTGCGTTCGAAAAAAATGAAATAAGAAATTTAAATATACTTCATTTGTCAAATTAAATATTTTCTATTTTTGTCTAAAAAAGTTTTCACTCCAAACAACGTGCAAAATCTCATCATTTTTAAAATTATTTTATTTACAAATTAGTGCAGAAATAAAAAGTATAAATTACATCATTTAAAAGTACATAAAAAACTCTATAAAATAAGAGGTGACATTACTATTTTATTTTATCAAATTATCAAATAAAATATACAAATAAACAAAAGTTATCGAGAAGCCGTAATAGTGACAGTGATATCCAATTCGGGACTAAGGGAGTATATATATTAATAATATTTTTTGGACCAATGTACAAAAGATTTCCTTCATGACTTAATTTCCCCTATTCTATAAAAGTATATTTTTTCATATACTTTTCTTTTTTTATTTTCTTTCCCATTTTTTATTTTAATTTTAATTAAAATAAAAGAAACACTATAAAATTAATGAACAGAAAATGTGAAATGAGCTTTAGTAAAAAAAGAAAATATTTCATTGATTTCCGTATCATTAAAATGAAGCAATAAAGACATCTTTTAGAAAAAAATGAAAATGTTTAATTTGAGAAAAATGAAGTGTAAGTTAGTTCTTGTTATTTAATGAGTAATTTACATAAATGGTCCCTATTAATGATGGTTTTCCATATTTAGTCCTTACTTATCAAATTTTACCAGCGCAGTCCTCTTTTCTTCGGTTCATTTCCACGGTCAGTCCTTCGTCACTCATGTTGTTTTTTGCCTATTAAATATTGTATTAAAAAAGTAATTTTACACCACCACCTCTCAATTAAACACCTCACCAACCCTCCTAATATATGCCTTTGTTTGCATGGTTAGAGTGCATCATTCAGAATGTCATGTGCATTGAAGGTAGTAACTTCCGGGTTCTGCGATTTTGCTATGAAGACGAAGGCTGGGTGATGGATACCCGGGAATGGGGGTGTCCAGCCCAGCAGGAAGACGGCCCAGCCCAACTTTGCCAAGGCCCACTTGGCGAAACCAGGACAAAGACTAGCGAAGATCGCCTCGGCAGTACTGCGCACTCGGCCCCGGCAGGGTTGGTCATCCTCGGAGCAACCACGGCCGGCCTTCCATCCAGAGGCTTCCGAAGGCAGGTCAGGCGCTCGGCCTCAGCCACGAGCAGCGACGGACCAGACCTAAACGAGGGAGCAGGCTTAGTCATGATCAAGGGGCCCACGATTAGACTCCTGCCATGCCTCTGGCAGAGTTGGTATAGCCACCCTACTTGTAACCTACTTTGTGTAACAGTCTTAGGGTTAATTATGTGGTTGGACGCCGCCAGTGAACAACCCAATCTTAGTGGGCCCAGACCGTTGGATTACGGACCAACGGTCGGAACCCTAGCTGTAACTTTGTATATAAACCTCTTTCCTTCTAAAGGGGAGGGGGACTTACGTTCTAAGTATTACCCTTACTAGCACATCATCACTCTCAGTTCACTTGACCCCTCATACTTTGTGCGCTCGTACTTAGTTCGATACTCGTCCGCCTAGTTACCTAGGCCCCCGGGTTCCATAAACCAACATTGGTGCTCTCATTGAGAGTGTCGAACACATCAAGCGTGCTCCAAAGGAAAATGGTTGCGTCAAAGAGAGTTACCAGGTCGTCTACCGCCAATCTCGGTGGTGGTCTCAGGATGACTGTAACGGCGCCGACAGGCGCAGGTCCTGATGAGCTGGATATCAGCCTCAACGATGTCGCCAGCCAAAATACCACTGACTTGCGTCACCGCATTCCCAGACGACGAACGACGAACGCTGGGGGGTCTCAGGCGCCAACTCAGCAGGTACCCACCCAGGGCGTCGGCGTTCTAACTCAGCCTCCTCCTAACGGGCTTGTGTGTGGAGGAGGCATGGTGTTGCCCGGTGATTTCAACTCACCATTTTTCCAATTCGGGGAGACCTCTGGTGCGAGGACCCCAGGTCCAGACCCCAGCGGTTTCTGGGCCATGATGAGGGCGATGATGCTCAATCAGCCCATGACCGGTTTCCACATGCCGGTCGCGATGCCACAACCGATGTTCTAGCCTGACGGGCATCGTGAGGTCCAGAAAAACGCGGTGGAAAGTGCAGAGCTTTTTGCCCAACACCTGAAGAATCTAATGACGGACTCCCGCCTGAATCCTTTGGCTGGGGGACCCGAGAACAAGGAGTTGAACCGATCCCAGCAGCGGGACAACGGCAAGGGCCCGGAGCGTAGGCCCAACAAGAAGCAAGCCAGCCGTCGAGACAAGGAAACGGTGAGCAAACATCGTGAGCCCTTGAGGGAAGGACAGGGTGAGAGTGAGTCACACGTATCCGTGTTCAGCCGGATGCGAGTGCCGGTTACGGAACGACTGTATGGCCGACGGAATGCCTTCCTGCAGAACGAAGGAGGGAAGATCAGGATGCCTTACGAGGAACAATGTGACCAGCACAATGAGGTCCACCCGGAAAGGAAAAATTCCCGGGTCGAGCAACCCGTTCAACATCCGATTCTGAGAGCGCCGCAAGGGACGCCTATCGCGATGGACGGGGGCATGAGCAGACACGGGGACGAACGCATCGATCTCCTCCTGAAGAGACTAGACGCCCTAGAAAGGAGGAACGGGGCGGGACAGGTGACCGAACCCATGTTCAGACTGCGTTCTCCTTTCTCCGAAATGATCCTGAGGGCACCTCTGCCGAACAGCTTTCAGATGCCGCCCATACCGAGGTATGACGGGACCACAGATCTGCAGGAGCATTTCAACCGATACCAAACCCTCATGAACGTGGTGACGTTCTCCGAGGAAGTCCTTTGTAGGTCGTTCCCCGCCACTCTTGACGGGTTGGCATCTGAGTGGTTCAATGAGCTGCCTGAGGGGAAGATCGACTCATGGGAGGATTTGGCACGAAGGTTCTTGGTCCATTTTGCCGGAAACAGGAAGAAGAAATTGCATTTTTCACATCTCCTGTCGGTCAGGCAACGACCCGACGAACCGCTGAGGGAATTCCTGGCAAGGTGGAAGCTGGAGACCACTAGAGTTTACGGAACGGATGACAAAACCAGGTTATCTACCTTCCATTTGGTCTTACGCTCAGGTGATTTCTCCAAGCGCCTAGCCTTGGAGAAGCCGAGGGAGTATTCCATCGCGCTGGCCATGGCAGAGGACGAGGCCGAAGCAGAGGAACTGGAGGCAAATAAGAAAAAGGAGGAAGCTGGGAGGCTTGGTTCTACCGCGACTGCGGTGAAGCCCATGCCGAGGAAGGTCACCATCGATGAGCGACCGCATTTGCCAGTTGGACACCACTTCCGGAAGGGCAGAGATCCTCGTGACCGACGATCGCACGGGAAGGACATATATGAAGAAGGAGGCGAGGACAGGAGACCTTATCCTCCCAGAGGTCCCAAGTTGTTGTTCCCTGATGTGCTCACCCCGCTTACACATCCCGTAAGCGCCATCCTAGATTTCGCCGAGCATCAGGGCTTGGTGGAGTACGATCCGCGATTCCCCCCGATTTGCACTATCGGAGAAGGCCCTTACTGCAGGTTCCACAGAGCGGCCGGTCATGACACAGACGCGTGTAAGGTCCTCAAGAGGGAGATCGAGAATTCGTCAAGAAGAAGAACACATGGCGCAAGGATGATGGGAAGAAGAACGGAGACAACCGAGGGAAGAAACCGGTGGGAACTCAGCAGAAGAAAAGGAAGGAGATGGGTCTCCCGAGCGACGAAGAAGAAGAAGACAACCCTAGACAGAAGAGGGTTGAGGAGAACAGGATGATCTACGGTGGCAACACCGGAGGAGACAGTGCCGAGCAAAGAAAGAAGTGGGTGCACTCGGCCTACGTCGGAGATGTTTACAGCGCTCCTGGACCGTCGAAAATCACGAAGACAGAGCCCCTCCTATTTGGTCCCAAGGACCTGCCTGAGATTCCATCACCCCACAGGGACGCCTTGGTCATCAGGTGTGAGATCAACGAGGTGGTAATCCACCAATCCTACGTTGACAATGGGAGCTCGGTGAACATCATGTACGTAAGGACATTTGAGGAGCTGGGATTGAAGAAGGAACTCTTGAAGAGAGTAAGGACTCCCTTGTCCGGATTCACGGGGGACATCATCGATTTAGAAGGCCTGGTCGAAGTGATGGTCACCTTCGGCGATGGAGAACACAAGAGGACGATCCCGGTAGAATTTCTGGTGGTACGACTTCTGGGATCCCATAATCTGATCTTGGGTCGGCCTGCGCTGGAAGATCTCGACTCCGTGACATCAGTGAAGTATTTGAGCATGAAATTCCCTACTGATTTGGGAGTAGGGGTGTGCAGAGGAAACCAGAAACTCGCCCGACTCTGCTACCAGAAGCAAACCAAGAAGATGGACGCTCAGGATCTTAGAGTGGATAGTATTGCCACGGCACTCTTGAAGGAGGAAGAAGGTCGTCCTAGAGCTGAACCAGCCGAAGATACAGAAGATGTGGTGATCATGGAGGAGCAGCAGGAGAAGAAGATCAAGCTCGGTATTAACATCAGTGCCGAACTTCGATCGAGGATCATACAGGTACTGAGGGAGAATTTTGTGATCTTTGCATGGAGTGTCGAGGATATGCCGAGAGTCAGCAAATCCCTGATCACCCACCGCCTCGCGGTCGAACCGGACGCAGAGCCCGTAAAGCAGAGAAGGCGACACTTGAGCAAAGACCGAAGAGATTTCGTAAAGAAGGAGGTGGACATGCTCCAAGCAGCAGGGCATGTCAAGGAGATCAAATACCCCACCTGGCTGGCCAACGTCGTGCTGGCACCAAAGGGGCAGACGTTCAGGATGTGTGTGGATTACGCTGACCTGAACCGAGCTTGTCCTATGGACCCTTTCCCTTTGCCCAACATTGATCAAATGATCGACGAAACAGCCGGGTGCGAGGTCATGTCTTTCATGGATGCGTTCAGAGGATATCACCAAGTGTTCATGCACGACGAAGATGCCGAGAAGACGGCGTTCCTCACCCCGGAGGGGGTGTATTGCTATTTGGTGATGGCATTCGGGCTGAAGAACAGCGGAGCCACATATACCAGGATGGTCAGCCGAGTGTTCCACTCGGTCTTGGGAAAGACGATGGCGGCATATGTGGACGACATGATCGTCAAGAGCAAGCAGGCTTCCGGCCATGCGGAGGATCTATCCCAGGTTTTTTCTATTATGCGGAAGTTCAATTTACGTCTTAACCCCAAAAAATGTACATTTAGTGTAGAAGGTGGAAAGTTCTTAGGATATCTCGTAAGCCGGCGAGGTATTGAGCCCAACCCCGAGAAGGTCAAGGCGATCCTGGACATGGAGCCCCCTCGTTCCATAAAAGAGGTGCAGCGCCTGACGGGGAAGATAGCCGCACTCGGCCGCTTTTTATCAAAATCCGCCGAGAAGAGTATCCCTTTCTTCGGCACGTTGAAGAAGGTTCCACAGTTCTAGTGGACACCCGAGTGCCAGGCGGCATTTGAGGAATTGAAGAAGTATTTACTGGCTCCCCAGGTGTTAGCAAAGCCAATCAAAGGCGAGAAGCTATACCTTTACTTGGGAGTTAGCCCTGGAGCCATAAGCTCCGTCCTGTTGCGAGAGGAAGGGGACGCTCAGCGCCCTATCTATTATGTTAGCAGAGCCTTGAGGGATGCCGAGTTCAGATACTCGGTGGTGGAAAAAACAATCTTGGTTGTTGTCAACACGGTCAAGAAGCTGAACCATTACTTCCAAGCCCACGAAGTGGAAGTGAGGAGTCACCAACCTTTGAGCATCATCATCAGGAATCCGACGGCCTCTAATAGGGTCATCAAGTGGTCTGTCTATCTGAGTCAATGTCAGATAGAGATGAAGCCGAGGACAGCAATCAAAGCCCAGGCCTCGGCCGACTTCATGGTGGAATGCACGGCACGGGACAACAACCCCATGCCAGCGGCGGAGCAGGAAGATTGGTGGACTTTGTCCACTGATGGATCATCAGCTGCAAAGGCTTGCGGTGGGGGCGTGGTAATCCAATCACCTGAAGGATTCCGCTCCTATCATGCGATAAAATTCCAGTTCAAGGTATCCAATAACGAAGCCGAGTATGAAGCATTACTGAGCGGACTGAGGCTCATCCTCAACCTGAAGGCCAAGTACGTCAGGATCAGGTGCGATTCGCGCCTAGTCGTCAGTCAAATCAAAGGAGAGTTCGACACCAAGGAGGAACGGATGCGCCTATACAAGGAGGCGGCCTTGGAGTTGCTCAAAATCCTAAAAGGATACGAGCTCATGCAGATCCCAAGGGCGGAAAACACCGAGGCAGACGTCCTCTCCAAACTGAGCAACGACAGCCCCGAACATATCTCCAAGATGGCTCACATTGAAGACCTGGGAACCCCAAGCATCCACGTGCAGCTCATCTCTGTTGTCACTGAGGAGGCCAGCGGCTGGATCGCGGAATTAATCCGGTATAAGAAGGACGGGATTCTCCCTGGCGATGAGACGACGGCCCGTTTGATCAAACGGAGGGCGCCGACGTACGTCATTGAGAATGGCCGACTATACAAGAGATCGTACAACGGCACGTTGCTAAGGTGTGTGGATGAAGCCAGAGCCGGGCAAATCATGGAAGAAGTGCACGAAGGAGTATGCGCGGCACATCAAGGTCCTTTCTCCATGGCCAGACGTATTGACTTGCAGGGATACTTCTGGCCGACCATGGTGAAGGACTGTGCCAAGCGCGCCAAGCGTTGTAAAGTATGCCAAGTTTTCCAGAACATTCCGGGAAAACCAGGAACCAGTTATCACCCCATCAGCTCGTCGATTCCTTTTGCTCATTGGGGGATAGACTTAATCGGACTGATGCCGAGGGCACCTGGCAATTTCCGTTGGATCATTGTGGCCATCGATTACTTCACGAAGTGGATCGAGGCCGAGCCTTTAGACGGAGGAACTTCAGAACAATGCTCAAAATTTGTGAACAACAATATACTCTGCCGGTATGGCGTCCCAAAGCAGATCACTACGGACAACAGAACCCAATTCGAAGCCGGAGATTTCAATGAACTATTGGAAGATTGGAAGATAAGGCACACCTACAGTTCTGTGGCTTACCCGCAAGGGAACGGCCAAGTAGAGAACGCCAACCGAACAATCATGGACGAGATCAAGAAGAGGCTGGAATCTTACAAAGGAGCCTGGGTGGACCAACTTCCCAACGTTCTGTGGGCATACCGCACAACTCCGAGGAGGGCGACTGGAGAAACGCCGTTTTCCATGTGCTACGGCCTGGAAGCAAGGGCACCCTCGGAGGTGTTCATCCCAACATGGAGAGAGGAAAATTATGAAGCCAAGGAGAACGAGGAAGCCATGGCGGCCGATCTTAATTTCGTTGAAGAACGCCGAGAGCAAGCTTTCCTCAAAGCAGAGAACTACCGGAGGCAAGTTAAAGAATATTACGACCGCAAGGTCAGAGCAACGGAATACCGAGTAGGGGACCTGGTACTCAGGAAGAGGGAGGCCAGTCAGCCCACAGAAGGGGAAAAGTTTGCAAAAAGCTATGAAGGACCATACAAGGTCATAGCTGTGCTCAGGCCAGGCACCTACAAGCTCTCCACGCTTGAAGGTCGCGAACTCGGCAGGCATTGGAACACGCACAACCTCATTTCTTTTTACATGTAAGGCGCTGAGAACCGTAACCAGTCGGCCTCGGTAGCTAAAAAAAATCTTCTACTTAATGAAATACTCGCTTCCACGCGAATTTTGTTGTTTTTGCTTTACGCAATTTAAAGACGCTGATTAGCGCTATCGGGCTCCCATGCCACGATTTTTTATGGCCTCACGCGGTCTTTCGCTATACGCGAACTAAGTCCTTTTGTGCTCACACACATCACGAGAAACGAATTTTTGCCGTCTCGCCACTCGACAATGCCTATTGGCGAGTGTCCCTTCAGGGGGGGAGCCCATCCGCACGGCCTAGCCCGGGGAATTGGCGCTCTGAACGAGACGAAGAACAAGGTCCGAATGGGCACAACTTGTTAATAGCACAAATGGCAGCGCAAGGTCCTGCTTAGGACAAAAAACTTGCAATCCTGCTTAGGATGTCTTCCACGACCCCTAGTCCTGCTGAGGACACACCTTTCGCCGCCCTGCTGAGGGCGTAAGCGCAAAAGAACCCTTCGGGGTGTAAAAAAAAAAGAAGAGAGAAGAAAAGCAGAACACAAGCAGTTTTATTCCACAAAATCTGCCCAAGACAGCAATACATTATACTTCAGGTACAAGAGCATGAAGCGTTGTTTCCCGAGTGGTCAAAATACACATTTATTTCTTCAGAAAATGAAGAATCTACGGAGGAAGCACCATGGTCAACCGCGAGATGCGCCTTGAGGTCAGCGCTGATCGTCTTCTTCCGGTGAGCACGACGAAAGCCTTTGAGGTAGGCACGCACGTTCGTGCCCACCTTGCGCACCAAACACACAGACTTCTGTGCAACCTCCGTTGGATCAGGTTCTTGGCGGAAGGGACTTTGGACCGAATCCTCACTCAAAGAAGGCAGATCGGGATGGGTACACTTCCCCACCGCAGTCGGAGCAGTGGCAAAACTGGGTAAAGACGAATCGGCCATAAGGAAAGAACAAGGGGGAGTAGCCTGAATGAAGGACGTTCCCTCTTCAAGAGAAGGAGTACCAGGGCTTAACGCCATATTGTAAAAAAAGGAGACACAAACAAGGAAAGGAACAATGCATCACATTTATAATCAGCACAGGGAACTTATTACAAAGACATTCATTGTACACAGTCAAACTCCATTGCAGAGGTATTCTCGGAAGCTACAACATTTATTACAAAGCCCTACACGATACGGTTGCAACGTCGGCAACATTTATTACACGGCGGCACTGAGAAAGGAAAAGACATGACTTTCTCTACCTCCCATGGATTTTCGAACGAGGGAAGAAAGACTCCCAAATCCATTGGTAGGTAGAGAAAGTCATAGGGAAGTAGACACCCCCCGGGCCCAATGGACTTCGGGACGAACAAAGCCCAGGCGCCGAAGGACGTGGATGGCCCCCCGATTCTGCAAACCTCCATCGGCAAGTATACAGGGGAGGGCCATAATATGGAAACTTAGGAAGAGCCGACAGACTCCTCCGGGTGATCGTCACCCGCGGGGATGGCATCAACAGCCGGCTGAACAGGCTCAGCCGAAGACGCTGCTTGTTGGGGGACTCCGTGAAGATAATTCACAAGTCTTTGCAGACGTTTGATCCGCCTTTCCAACTTCTTCGCACGATACCACCATGAGCTTGTACGAGATTCGGCATCCTCTGGCGGAGGAGGAGGACGGCGGCGATGGGTCTTCTGCTGGGAAGGCCGACGACCTATCTCCATGGAATTATTGGAAGCCATGAAAAGATTAATACAAGGGGTGAAGAGATGGATTTCAATGTAAGAAGAAGGCCAATTTATAGGCCCGTGAACGAAGGGATAAGGGAATTGAACAGTCGCAATGGTTAGAAGTGGAACTGTGCGTAGTGACACGTGTGTGGCACAAAGCGACGGTCCAGTGGTTAGGTCTGTTTGCGTGGGGAAGCCAAAGAGTCAGTTCCTCAAAAGGCGCAATTCAAATTTATTCAAATAAATAATGTCAGAAGTCTACTCAACTATTCACGCATGCAACGAAACAGTAATCAAATCTTCATTACAACAAGGGATAAGATTTCAAACATTACAAGGAAAACATTAAGGAAGGACATCTGAGAGTGGTTCTTCGCCGACATCCTTATCTGCACCCGTATCCTCGTGCTCGGGCGTCCCAAGGTAATCTGGATTCTCCCCGAGCTCGTCGTTCAAGTTGGGATCATGCATCTCGGGAATTTCGACCCCAGGCGGAGGGAAGGACGGATCTACTCTTCTGACCTGACGGAGGACGAGCTGAATCCCATGATAGACGCCGCTCTCGAACCACTTCGTTCCCTCCACTCCCATCTTCTCAGTGCCGGCCTCGGTTTTGAGCCAATCTGCATAGTAGGCGGACATCCTCTCTAGGCAGGCTTCTTTGAAAGATGGGGACTGAAGGAAATCGGGGATGGCGCGCTCCTTCTCAGCAACGACTTGTTCCTTCTCGACGAGAAGCCGATCCCGCTCTGTTTCCACTGACCGCTGCGCGGAGAGAGCTTCGGCCAGTTCAATATCCAGCTCGGAAATCCGACCTTCTGACTGCCGCAGTCGCCCCTCGAGCTCGGACATTGAGGCCGTCAACTGGGAGGCTGATTCCTCCGACTCCTTCAGAAGGCCCTGCAGTCGGACCACTTCCTCAGACTTCGCCACAGCTTGCATTTCAAGCTCGGCGGCTTGTTCGTGCTCGGTCTCCGCCAATTTCCTTAGGCGGGACAACTCTGTTTCCACCGAGGCCAAATAATCCACGCCTGAGGAGAATTCAGGCCCAGCTCGGCGATTGCTGATTGAGCTCAATTTCGCCGATACCTAAAGCAGATCAAGTCAGTCATCTATAAAAAAAAGAAATTTTTTAAGGTACTAGGAGGCTAACCTTTTTGTGGAATCCATCCACCAGCTTTTGCAAGGACGAGAGGATCTCATCCTCGTCCTTCAGCACCGCAGTTAAGGATGCCACCTCGGCCTCGGCATGAACATCCCCATCAGCCTTTTCGAAGGAGGTGGGGCACTTCCCATCCAGACGATCGGCCGGCCGTTTGCTCAATGGACCCTGGTTCGATGCCATGTCCTGCTCGGACGCGTTATCTTCATCCTCGACTTGGATAACCTTCCTCTTCCTCTGGTTCCGAGTCGGGGCCGCCTCCAGGTTCGGGACGGGAACAATGGACCCAGATGCATCCTCAGATGGAGTCTTTTGTTGAACCTCTTCTCCCCTACTGCGATTTCGGGCTAGCAGCCTGGCCTTACGAATAACATCCACCGGATTCATCTCCCCTGCCAGAGTGAGACGACAATTAGAAGTTGGCAAAAAGGAAAAGAGAGATTGTATAATGATAATAAACGGGGGGTAAACCCTAGGCGGAGGACGAACGTACAGGAGGACCTGCGTCAGCAATCCCCTCGGAGTAGGATGGCTGTTCTGACTCCTTGTCGGATTCCACCTCCTCGTCATCCTCCACCTCTTCGCCCTCCGATTCCAGATCCTCTGACCTCGGAGCACTCTCCTCAAGCCCATGTTTGGGACGGCCCCCAAGCATGGCCTCGGTCAACTCGAACTGACGCTCGAGGGAGAAAAGCATCCCCACCCCCGCCAAATTCTTTTCCGTACAGATCGTGTACACGTGGGGCGGTTTCGGCCGGCAGTCCTCCAAGAGTTTCTGCATGTGTGCGCAAAGCTCGGGAGTGGCCCGGGGACGAGGATGACGAATGAACGTATGACAGGCGGGGAACCTGGCTTGAAATGGATGCCGGCCCCCGGGAAAACCAGAAATGAAGACGAACTTGGCCTTCCAGAGTTTCAAGGATGAGGGAAAGACGGCCATGCCACACTCGGCCTGGGAAGAAACGACGGCATACGAATTTCCTTCAAGGGCCCCCACTTTGGAAATCTTGAACATATAATGGAACAAATCCAAAGACCAGGGGACTCCCCTCTGGTGACACTTAATCAGGAAGATTGAGAAACAGTAGTAGGAGTGGGGACTGAGCTGACCCGGAAGAAGATTGTAGAAGTTCAGAAATTGGACTATCAGATCGTGAGGAGGGAAGCGAAGGCCGTAGCGCATGGACGCCACATGCACCCTGACCTCGGCGTCGGGGCAGGTCACTGAGAAGACATGGTTGGTTGTGTGCGGTCGGCGCACCACGTAGCCATCTCCCACGAAGCGGAGCGCCTCGTCAAAGTCAATGTCCAACAAAAGACAACCCGTATTTGTAATCGGACCCGTTTCCAGTGCGGTAACGGGTAAGGATCTCGGGTTCTTCCTTTGAACCGTTTTTGTTTTCTTCTTTTTCTTCTTCGAGGGCGCCGCCTGAGACGACGACGCCACGGTGACGGACGTACGGAGAGGCACCGCACTCAGAACCCTAGAATGGTCAATTCCTCCCATCAAGCCGTCGGGGCGGAGGGAGGGATTTTGACGGTACATTTCTTCGAAACAAACCACCGCTGGGTCAACAGCGGGAGTGGAAGGATTGGAATCAGAAGACGTCATGAGAGCGGGGAGGAGTGAACTAACCTTCAGGTGGTGCTGCGACGGCGGCGGCGACTGAGCGGAGAAATTGAGCAAAATCGACGGCAAAGCTGGCAAAGCTGCGGCGCAAAAATGGCGAAAGTGGAGAACATTGGGAGAATTCCCAATTTTATACATTAGAGAGATCCGACCCGACTTAATGAAAAGGCACAATTGCGAAGAGACGTGGCGCTTCCTTAGGCGCACGATCAGGAATCATCGTGAACGGCTGGCAAAGGAACAGTACAGAGACGTTGCGTCTCCCAAGTAGTACAATCATACTTCTCAGAATTGAAGGGACACGTGTAAATCTGGCCAGTTGGACACTCCCCAACCCTCGTCAGTACTCGACTTGGGCAGCGGGGGACTCCTACACATGGCCAAGATTTTCAAAATTCAAAAAATGCAAAATCCCAACTGTTGGATTACTTCCCTCGGCCTCACTGCGCTCAACCGAGGAAGTAGGGGACTCATGATGGATACCGGGGAATGGGGGTGTCCAGCCCAGCAGGAAGACGGCCCAGCCCAACTTTGCCAAGGCCCACTTGGCGAAACCAGGACAAAGACTAGCGAAGATCGCCTCGGCAGTACTGCGCACTCGGCCCCAGCAGGGTTGGTCATCCTCGGAGCAACCACGGCCGGCCTTCCATCCAGAGGCTTCCGAAGGCAGGTCAAGCGCTCGGCCTCGGCCACGAGCAGCGGCGGACCAGACCTAGACGAGGGAGCAGGCTTAGTCATGATCAAGGGGCCCACGATTAGACTCCCGCCATGCCTCTGGCAGAGTTGCTATAGCCACCCTACTTGTAACCTACTTTGTGTAACAGTCCTAGGGTTAATTATGTGGTTGGACGCCGCCAGTGAACAACCCAATCTTAGTGGGCCTAGACCGTTGGATTACGGACCTACGGTCGGAACCCTAGCTGTAATTTTGTATATAAACCTCTTTCCTTCTAAAGGGGAGGGGGACTTACGTTCTAAGTATTACCCTTACTAGCACATCATCACTCTCAGTTCACTTGACCCCTCATACTTTGTGCGCTCGTACTTAGTTCGATACTCGTCCGCCTAGTTACCTAGGCCCCCGGGTTCCATAACCCAACACTGGGATTAGGCCGGGTTCTGAGGGATAACTGAGGATGGGGAGGGTTAATTTAATTAAGAGACGAGTGTGGGAAGTTATCGCTTCAAACCTACATTGAACATGTAGATAATAGTAGGAGTGACGGAAGACTGGTCGTGAAAAAGAGCCAAAAAAGCAGAGACTACGCTTGTAATATTTGATAATTAATTAGAGACTAAATATAGAAAACTGGCTATAATAAGAAACCATTTATGAAATTTGCTCTTATTTAATTGATTTTTATTACAAACACTAAAAAAAATTTGATTATTAAAACATTATAAAAAATAATTTAAAAAAAGAAATTACAAAATTTATGAAAAGATAGTAGAAAAAAGAAAAAAAAATAAAGAAAAGAGGGGGCGTTTGTGCCAATTTCCAAAACCATATGGGGTAGTGGAGTTATTCACAAAACATTTGAAAGATATTTTAGTCTAGAAGGGCATTGGCGTAGCAATATCAGAACCATGATGGACGACAACGTAAGTTTTAAAACCATATGGGGTAACAGTGCACATTTTCCAAATAAACTCTTTTATTTTTACTAAAAATCTTGTAAGATCTCTGACATTATAAATTCTCCTAAAACTAATAGATGTTGGAGAAAAAAATGCATATGTCAGCTTTATAGTATATTCAAAAGAAACAAACGTCCATGATATTCGAGAGTGACTTGGCCTACATAGCCTGTTATTAGCTTCTGGCATGGCATAATTGATGCAGACGTAACCAATATAAGTTCATAAAAAAATTTATTTTTATATTTCCTCCATCCCAAGCTTTCTTTTCAATTCACTTTTACTTCTGTCTAAAAAAATACTTACACTTTGAATTAAATTTTTTGATAGATCTATTTTAGCCATACAAGTTATTAACGTATTTATTACGGAGTACATCATATCTATTCACTATTAATCAATGTATCACACCTTAGTCGTCTATTCTACAATAATGTAAATATAAATTGAAAAATAACATTAAAACTACATACTCTTTAGATCTTTTATTTTTCCGAAATTTTAAAGTTTAAAAGCATAGAGGGAATATCTTTTTTTTAAATAAAAATTAGGAAGAATTATCCAAAATAATCCCAACTTTACCCGGTCTTTCAAAAATAATCCCACCTTTCAGCGTGATGCATAATAATCCAAACTTTAATGAATTTTGCGAGTTTGGGGTCGCCGTTAATTTTCTAACGGAGGGTTAACGGAAATGCCTGTTTTGGGCAACAAAATGAAAGTTGGGATTATTTTTGATGAATTTTCATTTTTTTTATTTTTTTTTTGAATTTTTCATTTAACTTTTTAAAATTACTTTCTACCTTCATCATCATTTCTCTTTCCTTTTTTAAAGATTAGTCTTAGTTTAAAAAAATAAAAATAATAGATATAAAAAAATAAAAAAATGAGAAATGTAACTAAAATGATACAAAAATAATAAAATAAATAAGGTAATCAATAGAAACTAACTTGAAATTGGTAATAAATAAAATAAAAATATACGGGTGAGTTTTAATATTTTACGCACTATACAAAGTATTAACGTATCACTTCTTATTTTTTAGAAAAAATTATTTACAATAAATCCAATTTTACCGGACGGCTTGTTCTTTTAAAAAATAATTAGTAGTACATTAAGACTCCGTATAGTGTGTAAAATGTTAAAACCCACCACTCCGTATGTTTTTATTTTATTTCTTACCAGTTTCTGTTTAATTTCTATTGATTACATTATTTATTTCATTAATTTTGTATGGTTTTAGTTACTTTTCTCCTTTTCATTGTTTTTTATATCTATTTTTTTTATTTTTTCTAAGGTAAGAATAATCTTTAAAAAAGAGAAAGAAATGGAGGTTGAAAGTAATTCCAAAAATTTAAAAAAAAACTTCAAAAAAAAAATTTAAAAAAAATAATAAAAAATAATCCCAACTTTCATTTTGTTGCCTAAAACAGGCATTTCCGTTAACCCTCCGTTAGAAACTTAACGGCGACACAAAACTCGCAAATTTCAATAAAGTTGGGATTATTATGCATCACAGTGAAAAGTGAGATTATTTTTTAAAGACCGGGTAAAGTTGAGATTATTTTGGGTAATTTTTCCTAAAAATTAAAGCCGGAGATGAGAAGAGTGGCCGGCGACGGCAAACAAGAGGTAGTTGATCAGAATTCAGAAGCTAACTCTTTGCAGAAATATCTGGTGCGACATCAAGAATTATTTTACTAGACATATATAATGATAATTTTTGGGATGTAACATAATGTTTTGGATGTTTTATTTGGGATGCAGAATTGTTGGGATTTTAAGCGCGTAAGATACCGAAAAATATTGAGAACACCAGAAAAATGAGAAAACAAACACAAGAAGAATATATGAGAGAAAAATTATATCTTCACTATTTCAGAACGATATATATACAAAAAACTCTCCCCTATTTACAAGCGCTAAATACCATACATTTATAAACAGACTTTTCACACCCTACACCTGGATGTATTTTTCTGAGTAACTAAAACCAGTTACTCTCTACACTCACTCACACAATTCTCGTGATATCTTGTGTAGCACCTTTCTCTAAACCCTCCTTCTCTCTTAGTTTGTGTGTTGCCCACCCACATATTGTCTTACTTTTATAACAAAAAAAACTCCGTATGCTTGCATGGCTTGAGAAGGAGTCAAGAAACCAAAAAATCCTCTTTGATTTGATGACATGCAGCAAGTCAATCAAATATCTCATTTTTGATCATGTTTCTCTTTTATTATCTTCTTTGTCCTCTTTCCCTTCTTTTTTTTCTTTCTTTTTTGATTAATCAATCAAATATCCCAACAAACTCCACCTTGATTAACTAGTATCACACCCGTGCGCTGCACGATTTGTATTAACGTTATAAATTTATGTTAGCATTATTATAAAAGTAAATAAGTACACCATATAATGAAATATAATGTTTATTGTTTATGTAAAACATTAATATCATATAAATTACAAATTCTGGAAAACTTCTTTATAAACTACATTAGTAGTACATCATGTGGAAACATGCTCTGCATCGTCAATAAGAATCTTCAAGCTATTACGATTTGTTATTTTTGAAACCGCAACATATGATTGTCAATGACTAAACATCGGTTTCTGTTATAATAATCTAACATGTTCCTTACACATTTGGTCAAAGTCATCGTCCACTTCAATAGTTTCATACTTTGAGATAATTGACTTATCCCAAATAAGGCCATACACTCCATAAGAATTATTCCTAACATAATCAGACTAATTCCTACAAATAATAATAAATATATTATTAAGGAAAATTAGAATAAACATTCCTCTTTATTTTCATTCATATATTGTAGCGCTTTGGATAAAATTTTAACGGTGTAGATTACTTTAAAACGCTAACCTCAAACGCTGCCTGTAGATAGCCTTTTCAAAATGCTAACGATGATCACTAACGCCATTCCAAAACAGGCCCACTATTAATAGCTTCCTTTTCCTTTTTTAAAGAATAATATTAAAAATAGTAATATAATCAGTCTAGATTTTTTGTCAATTCTTTACTTTTTTAATATGTTCCCATAAAAATACAATTTCTTTGTTATTTCTTTAATTTTTTAAATTTGTTCCCATAAAAAATATGGTTTCGTCTTTCCTTTTTAGTTCTGTTTGCATTGAAAACATACTATATTTTAAAAATAACCTCCTTTGCTTTTCTAAGTAATAATAATAATAATGTCATCGGTCCTATATTTCTGTTTTTGTTAATTCTTTACTATTTTTAATGATTTCTCATTAAAAAACATATTTTTAAATATATTTTATGTACTAAAGTAATCACAATTTTAAAGAATAATAATAATAATAGCATCGGTCTTATAATTCCTTGCTTGTTAATTCTTTACTTTTTTAATCTGTTACCATAAAAATGGTTATTTCTTTATTTTTTAATTTTTTTAACATTAAAGACACACTCTAGTTTAAAAATAATTTCCTTTTCTTTTTTAAAGAGGAATAATAACACTAATAATACCATCGGTCTGATATTTTGTTTTTTGTTAATTCACTCTTGTTTACAAATAATTTCTTTTTCTTTTTTAAAAAGAATATTTTTCATGTGCTAAAATAATCATGATTTTAAAGAATAACAATAACAACAACAGCAATAGCTGCATCGATCCTATATTTTTTGATCTATTCCCATTAAAAAATATGATTTCGTCTTTCCTTTTTAATTCTGTTCACATTAAAAACATACTATTATTTAAAAATAACTTCATTTGCTTTTTCTAAATAATAATAATAATATCATCGGTCCTATATTTCTTTTTTGTTAATTCTTTACTATTTTAATCAGATCCCATAAAAAACACAGTTTTAAATATTTTTCATGTACTAAAATAATCACGATTTTAAATAATAATAATAATAATAATAATAACAACATTAGTCTTATATTTCTTTGTTATTTCTTTACTTTTTTTAATCTGTTCCCATAAAAATGGTTGTTTCTTTATTTTTTAATTTTTTTTACATTAAAGACACACTCTAGTTTAAAAATAATTTCCTTTTCTTTTTTAAAGAAGAATAATAACACTAATAATATCATCGGTCTGATATTTTGTTTTTTGTTAATTCACTCTTGTTTACAAATAATTTCTTTTTTCTTTTTTAAAAAGAATATTTTTTATGTGCTAAAATAATCATGATTTTAAAGAATATCAATAACAACAACAGCAATAGTAGCATCGATCCTATATTTTTTGATCTATTCCCATTAAAAAAATACGATTTCTTCTTTCCTTTTAAATTATGTTCACATTAAAAACATACTATTATTTAAAAATAACTTCCTTTGCTTTTTCTAATTAATAATAATAATATCATCAGTCCTATATTTCTTTTTTGTTAATTCTTTACTATTTTAATCAGATCACATAAAAAACACAGTTTTAAATGTTTTTCATGTACTAAAATAATCATGATTTTAAATAATAATAATAACATTAGTCTAATATTTCTTTTTTATTTCTTTACTTTTTTTAATCTGTTCCCATAAAAAACGGTTTCTTCTTTCCTTTTTGATTTTGTTTACATTAAAGACACAATCTTGTTTGAAAATAACTTCCTTTACTTTTTTAAAGAAGAATAATAATACTAATAATATCATCGGTCCGATATTTTGTTTTTTTGTTAATTCTTACTTTTTAAAATTTTTTCTCATAAAAAACATGGTTTTAAATCTTTATCATGTCCCTACTTAATCACGATTATTAAATAATAATAATAATAATATAAATTATAATAACAATGATAAGAAGAATAATAATAATTAAAAAATAATAATAACAATAGCATCGGTCCTATATATATTTCATTGTTTGTTAATTTGTTAGTTTTTTTTAAAACATTCTCATGAAAAAAAGGGTTTCTTCTTTCCTTGTTTGTTAATTCTTTACCTTTTAAAAATGTTGCCAAAAAAATACAATTTCTTCTTTCCTTTTTAATTTTGTATACAACGGTGGATTACATATTTATTTTGGTCCGATATTTCCATGTTTGTTGATTCTTTACCTTTTTCTTTATTAATTGTACCAAGAGAAATAACTTTCCTTATTCGATCTTAAAACACTGGATTATATATCATCCGTAGATCTCATTTTTTCTAAGAATCAACGGTTAAGATTGCTTTGCATTTGGGCGGGAAAACACGGGTGCATTTTTCCCCTGCTTTTAAGAATAGAATGATTAATCAAAATCATGGTCCGGCTCCACCTCGCTCGTTCCGACAAGGTCACAGTCTCCACCAACTTGAGAAGCTTCAAACTTCACCCGCTTTTTCCATGCGAATGCTCCGTTCGTTGCACTTGTAATTTTTCCTTCTGGCAGCTTCCGTGCCAATTCTTTTCCTACAAGTTTATACAAGTCCTTTGACAAAACTCCTTTTGCTACCCCCATTGCTCCCCTAGAAATTTTTAACACTCCACCTTGAGCAAAAATTCGGCAGCCTTCTGAATCTAAAGCCCCCAATGAAATCAAATTTCCTTTTAGACCCGGTACATGTTTCACTCCAGTTAATGTTCTCACCACGCCATCAAACATGCGAACTTGCACTGTTCCGACCCCTACAATCTTGCTCCGTGCACCATTTGCCATCTTCACAGCTCTCCCATCACAAGTTTGATACGTATCAAACTGTTCCTTAACTGAACTTATGTGAAACGAACAACCCGAATCTAATATCCACTCTGATTTACCTAGGCTCTTTGCGGTTGCCAAAAACAAGTCTTCTTCACTTGCTTGGTTCGAACTTTCTGCAATCGCAGTCACGGGGGTTTTCCCGTCCTTCTTTTCTTTCCTCCTCTTTGGACAATCCCTTTTGAAATGACCCTCTTCATCGCAGTAGTAACACCGAAAGCTTTTACTACTCGATTTGAAGCGTTGGGACACGCCGCCCCTCTCTTTAGACCGTCCTCGTTCCCGACCAGCTCCTTTTGCTACCAAAGCTTGACCATCATTTGATAGCCCGTTGCCACCCCGCCGAGTCTCGTTCATCAACAACGCAGCAACTACTTCATCAAATTTTAAGGTCTCTTTTCCAAACAAGAGCGTGGTCACGATGTTGTCAAAAGATGAAGGCAATGAAGCCAATAAAAGCAGCGCCTTGTCCTCCTCTTCAATCTTCACATCAATGGATTCCAACTCTGTTGTAATCTTGTTGAATTCATCCAAATGACCATTAAAGTTAGCTTCCTCCGCCATTTTGAGACCAAACAATCGTTTCTTCAAGTATAGCCTACTTGTCAACGATTTTGACTTGTACCAGCTCTCCAGCTTGTCCCAAATATCCACCGGGTCCGTCAAACCGAGAACCTCCCGAAGAGTATTATTTGCAAGACATAGGCATATTGTACTTGTTGCCATGTCCTTCAAATCCTCCCACTCTTCTTCCGACAATTTTTCTGGTTTGTCGTTCTTTCGGTGTTTGGCCCACTCAGCATCCGTCCTTTTTTTTTGTCCTCTGAACCTTCACCTTCAGAGCTTTGATTGTCCCTTCCCGAGTAAGAACACTTTTGAAATATTGGAATAATAGTATTGCTCCTTGAATTATGAAGTACATGATAGAGTATATATAGGAGAGACTCCTAACACAACTAGGAATATAGAATAGAAACTAACTAACATACAACATCTACCACAAATAGGATTAGGAAGCTGACTAATAATGAAACACTACCACGACCAATACTACCACAAGTAATACTATTATTATTGTCTAACATCCCCCCTCAAGCTGAACTCTGGCTGAAGCAAGAGGAAGCTTGGACACTAGCTGGAAACTAGAAACTTTGAGAAGAGAGAAGTCTGACATGCGCCGGTGGCTGCTCAGATCACGTCGTTGGAGAAGAGAGAAGTATGACGTGCGCCGGTGGCTGCTGACGTCGATGGAGAAGAGAGAAGTCTGACGTGCACTAGTAGCTGCTAACGTCGTTGGAGAAGAGAGAAATTGACGTGCGCTAGTAGCTGCTGACGTCGATGAAGAAGAGACAAGGTTGACGCGCGCTTGTAGCTTCTGACGTCGAAGAAGAATAGAGAAGGCTACTGGAGGTGCCTGTTTGACTGAAGATCCTTGACATTTTTTGTCTTTTTCTTGGATCCGGGCAATGCCCTATTTCCTTCTTGAAGGGGTGAGTTGTAGAGGTCTTATTTACTCTTTCACTACTTCACCTCTTGGCTTTGCTTTTGTGATGATTTACTTTGGATTTTTAATGGTTCAATAGAAGAGAAAGAGAAGGGAGGTTGATGATTAGAATGAATGATTTTAGAGAGAAAAAATAGGTTAAGAATTGGTGATGGAAAAAAAAAATTGGGTCTGAGATTTTGATATGGTGAATTGGAGAGAAACAACAATCTTTTTTTTTCCTTTTTTTTTGAGAAGATAGGATGATCTGAGAGATTTTGTGAGGAGTTGGGATTTTTTTTTGAAGAACCATGAAGATGACAAGAGAGAAGTTCCTCCTTTGATAGTTTTTTTGTGTGATTTCAACAGAGTTTTTTTTCTTTTTTTTCATTTGAATGAAGAAGTTGATTTGAGGATAAAGAAGGAAAAGAAAATAGAGGTGAATAGGGTGGAGCCGCCGTCGCCGGAATTACCGGCGGCGGCGGTGGGAGCAAAGAACTTTTTTTTTTAGGTCACCAAGAGCGGTGGCTCTGATACCATGTTGAAATATTGGAATAATAGTATTACTCCTTGAATTATGAAGTACATGATAGAGTATATATAGGAGAGACTCCTAACACAACTAGGAATATAGAATAAAAACTAACTAACATACAACATCTACCACAAATAGGATTAGGAAGCTGACTAATAATGAAACACTACCACGACCAATACTACCACAAGTAATACTATTATTATTGTCTAACAAAATCCTCCCACTCTTCTTCCGACAATTTTTCTGGTTTGTCGTTCTTTCGGTGTTTGGCCCACTCAGCATCCGTCCTTTTTTTTTGTCCTCTGAACCTTCACCTTCAGAGCTTTGATTGTCCCTTCCCGAGTAAGAACACTTTTTACTCGTTGTTGCCACAAAGTAAAATCACCACGTCCATCGAAAGGTTCGACAGAAACATTCGAACTTTTTACTGATGCCATTTTTCAAGTTCTTCAATTTTCCTCTCTTACCGCTTAGAAATCCCTCCGCCCCAAATGTAACCAGGCTCTGATACCAATTGTTGGGATTTTAAGCGCGTAAGATACCGAAAAATATTGAGAACACCAGAAAAATGAGAGAACAAACACAAGAAGAATATATGAGAGAAAAATTATATCTTCACTATTTCAGAACGATATACAAAAAACTCTCCCCTGTTTACAAGCGCTAAATAACAGACACTTATAAACAGACTTTTCACACCCTACACCTGGATGTATTTTTCTGAGTAACTAAAACCAGTTACTCCCTACACTCACTCACACAATTCTCGTGATATCTTGTGTAGCACCTTTCTCTAAACCCTCCTTCTCTCTCTTAGTGTGTGTGTTGCCCACCCACATATTGTCTTACTTTTATAACAAAAAAAACTCCGTATGCTTGCATGGCTTGAGAAGGAGTCAAGAAACCAAAAAATCCTCTTTGATTTGATGACATGCAGCAAGTCAATCAAATATCTCATTTTTGATCATGTTTCTCTTTTATTATCTTCTTTGTCCTCTTTCCCTTCTTTTTTTTTTCTTTCTTTTTTTGATTAATCAATCAAATATCCCAACAAATTAAGTAGAAGACTTTATTAGATGTTTATTTGTTGGCAAGTTTTAGTTTACCAAATGTAAAAAGTTTTTGGATTGCTTAAACCAATATGAAAAATTGAGACTTTATTAGATGTTTATTTGTTGGTAAGTTTTAGTTTACCAAATGTGTAAAAGGTCTTTGGATTGCTTAAACCAATATGAAAAATTGAGATTTTATTAGAGGTTTATAAGTTTATTTGTTGGCAAGTTTTACTTTACCAGATGTAAAAAGTTTTTGGATTACTTAAACCAATATGAAAAAATGAGAACTTAAATTTCAACGACCAATTGATCGAGTGTGTTTATTATCCTTACACAGCGCAAAAAAAAACTGTTGTATAAAGCATAGTTTTTTTATATACCTATACACAATGGATGAATATCCAATAATGTATAAGGCATAACATTTTTGATCGAGTATCTTTACACAGTAGATAAATATCTATTGTATAAAGCATAATGATTTTTAAGTATCCTTTCACAGCAGATAAACATCCAATATATAAAGCATAATTATTTTTTAAAACCCTTACAAAGCCGATAAATACCCACTGCATAAAGCAATAAAGCATAGCGTTTAATTAATACGGAGTACATTATTCTTATTTGTCATAAGAGACTTAATTATTCTCACCGGAGCATAATTAACCGGATTCATAAAATGAGAGTGAAAATTAATTATTATAGATTAAGCTAATAATTTAAGCACTTCAAGGGCTTGGTGGCGAAGATGCTGCCGCTGATTCTTTCCCGGTTTTGGGTGCCACATGCGGAGGTTCTACAAAAAAAATAATAAATTCTAATTATCAATTCAAAAATAATGATTTAAATTAAGAGTAAATTCAAACATGCTCTCTCATGATTAATTACAATGTTTACTATTCCAAAACAACGATAAGTTTTGTATATATGTGCATTTTCATTGATTATTTAATAAAACAAAATATTCTTTAAACATCTTGTTTTGTAAAAGTTTTGATGTGATTTTTAAATATGTAAATTTTATTTTTTATTTATGTCGCAATCTTTAAATAAAATGAAATGAAAACAATTTAAGATTTTCCTTCATTTTCCGCAATACGTAATCAAAATAGGGACCGACATTGTAACTTTTTTTTAGACGAAAGAAGTTTAATAGAGTGAACGTGCAATGTCAAAGAATTAAGGGAAATGCTTTAAGGTTAGTACTTACGTGGGTTGTTTGGTCCATGTGGCACCTCGTGTGCTATGTTCCATGGTTTGTCAGCTGAAACATTGTTTAGAAAATTAAAAAAAAAAGAGACACTTTTAGCACAATCCACAGCGGAAGATATATATAGGCATATATACTCTCTCGATATATGTTATATATAAAAATATATGATTTGTCAATATAATACTCCCTCTGTTTGAAAAAAACACTTCCCATTTGGATTTAGGGCAAAAATAAGGAAGTGTTAAATTATAGTTGATTTCCAATTTTGCCCCTGATGTGATGGGTAAAAGTAAGATGTGATGGATAGATTATTAGAGAAAAAGTATGATGTGATAGGTAGGGTATGAAAAAGTAAGGGTAAAAGTGGTTTTTTAATAGAAAAGGGAAGTGTTTTGTTGGAAGTGAAAAAAATGAAAGAGGAAATGTTTTTGAGAACGGAGGGAGTATATACTGCAATTTTAAAATGAATGTATTGATAAATAATGTAGATGGAGATGGTCTTAATTAATTAATTATATTACATGGATCAAGAAGCACGGCGGGTTGAGCGGAGGAGGCGAAGGGGATATTGTTGTTGTTGGAGATCAGCAGAAGAATAAGGCAACTGAGAAATAACCCTAACCAGTACTGTTGCGCCTGCTGATGTAGTGCTCCTCTCCTCATTATATTTCTCAATTAATACTTGTTCCACGATCTTTTTCCTACGACTCTAGAGCTATATATATATATATATATATATATATATATATATATATATATATATATTAGTTCTGGTGAGAATGCAATCTTAGGAGAGAAATGAGAATGAATCTGGTGCTTTAGATTGTGAGATCTAAAGGTCAAGCTTTCATCAAAATTAGATGCACCAAAATGGTGCGAAAATTCATCACGTTGAAATGCATCATAAACCTTCGAAAATGCACTATCTCAAAATCTGAGCGCAGGATGCAATCTGAGCCGCACGATGCATCAGATCCGACGGCTAGATTTTATTCTCATTTCTCTCCACAAGGTGCATTCTCACGGAAACCGGCCCCTATATATATATATATATATATATATATATATATATATATATATATATATATATATATATATTGGTTCAAGTGAGAATGCGATCTTATGAAAGAAATAAGAATGAATCTGGTACTTTAGATTGTGAGATCTAATGGTCATAATTGCATCAAAATTAGGTGCACCAAAATGATTTAAAAATGCATCATGTCGAAATGCACCAAAATCCTTTAAAAATGCACTAGCTCAAAATCTGAGTGCAGGATGCAATTTGAGCCGCACGATGCATCAGATTCAAAGGCTAGATTTTATTCTTATTTCTTTCACCAAGGTGCATTCTCACCTGAACCGCCCCATATATATATATATATATAATATATATATATATATATATATATATATATATATATATATAATGGGTAAAAGTAAGATTTGATGGATAGATTATTAGAGAAAAAGTATGATGTGATTTTAGTTACTAAGATTTCAACATATTAACGTAACACAAAATTTTAAAGAATGTGATTTTTAATAGTTATATTTTATAAAATATAATTTGTGTAAAACACAAATGTATTAATGCTTTTAGATATTGTAAGTTAAATTATTCGAAATATTGTAAGTTAAATTATTCGAAATCTGACATATAAATTACATAGTATGATTACTTAAATATTCATTTAGGATTCGTTAACTATTCGAATATTAATCATATGCAAATGTTATTTTTTATTCATTTCGTATTAGTTTATTCGGATTTGTATTTGAAAAAGTTAAACACAAATTCAAATGTTACGATATTCGTTTCGATTCGGTTCGTTTACAACTCTATATATAGTCTTATTTGGTATATATAACTTTTTATTTGGTTAGTTTTAAAAGATTGATATGGTATGAGTTGTAGAATATAAAATGAAATTGTTTGTAGAGATTTGAAATTATCATTTTTAGTGATATACTCTCTCCATATATCCCTTAAACTCCTCCTTTCTTTTTTTGTCCCACTAACTCCTTCCCTTAATTATCTATTAAAAACTACTTTTAGTCCTTACTTTTTCATACCATACATATCACATCATACCTTTTTCCTAATAATCTATCCATCACATCTTACTTTTACCCATCACATCAAGGATATTTTTGGAAACTCAACACCAAAATATCCATCCCTTAATTTCTCAAAAAGTCAATAAGGAAAACTTTTTCAGGGACGGAAGGAGTATAAGAATGACCGGCAACATAGAATGAATGGCGCGTGTGCGACAATGGTGAGAGATATGTCAAACTCTCATATTGATATCTTTACTTTTCAAATTTGAGAGATATCAATCTCTTTCGGGAGGATTTGATATTTGCATTTCTCAAATTCATAATCTATTACTCCTTCCGTTCCTTAAAACCCTTCCGCCCTAAATTTTTGCGCACCTCATTAAACGCTTTTACTCCCACCTAAAATATCTAAAATATACCACACTATGTAGTTTATTGCGGGTAGAACTTGTTTTAGGGGTATTTTAGACATTTTAGGTGGGATAGAAGTATTTTATGGGCTGCACAAAAAATTAAAACGGAATTGTTTTGTGGAACGGAGGGAGTAGAAGTTTTGATATTTAGAGATATCAAAATTCCTTTCTCTTTTGCTCACAAACACATTTAAGTTTCATGTTTAATCTTATTAAGGTAATGGAGTATTTATTTTCAAGTGTTGAGAAATTTAAGGGTGAAGTTAATTATGGAAACGAGTGGTACATCTCATCAATGTGTTTTCTTTCTTTTTTTTTTTGAAAGCTGATCAATTGATTAATTCACGTGGTAATGATGAAAAATCTTGAAATTGCTCTTGCTACGTACAGTTAATTGCGGAAGAAATTGCGAGTTAGGCGCTCATTTGGTTTTAACTTTAGAGGGCAACATTATAGGTTCGTTGGTAGAAAATATTTTTCCAAAATACTCTGTATTATTTTGTGAAATTTGCACTGAATAGGATTAAAACATAAGTCATTTCCTAATATAGGACTTGAACTTTTTTATTCTCTAAATAGAACTTAATAATGACTAGGGAGAAGAATAATGCCCAAGTGATGCTGGACATTTAGTTGAATAATGACTAATAGATAATGACCAATGGTCTTACATTGGGAAATAAAAACATATGATCCTATATTGAGAAATTCATTATGTTTTAGTCCTATTTAGGTAAATTACATACTTCTTCCGTCCCTAAATAGATTACAAATTGCGGGTTACGAAGAAAAATTTCCTACTTTTTGAAATCATTTTATTTAAAAATTGGTATATCAATACGATATAAAAATTACATATTAAAAAATTACATCAAAAGTTCTACAAAACAAGAGGTGGCAAGAATATTTTATTTTATCAAATACTTAATGAAATCGTGTAAACAAACAAAAGTTACTGAGAGGAGAGAAAAAAAATTGTAATTTATTTAGGAACGGTGGGAGTATTATTTTTTGAGAAAGATTTGCAAGAAAAATTTATTTCTCTCTCATCTTCCTTTTGGTGTGAGGAAGGAAAATACTTTGTATTATAAAAAATAATTATAACTGCTTGAATTGATATATGAGTGATAACAGAATAAACATTAAAAATTATTGTTCAAATACTTGTCCATACAGTAATACAATTTAAAAAATAGATAATAAATAAGTAATTATTAAAAATGAATAAATAAAATTAGTCAATCACAAGATAAGTTTTATGGTCGGATCAATTGCTAATTAGGAGCTTGAGTCTACTAGAAATCTGAGGTGAATCTACAGGGAAGGCGACTGAGAACATCATGAGGAGTAAGGAAGAAACGAAAAAATCAATCTATCTAAGAAATGATAGACATGGGTCAATTCAATCCCAAAGTTTAACTCAAAAAATTGAGGTACCCAAATCATTATGAACATCATAATACTAGGTTGCACAGTCGACGTAAGAACTAAGAAGAGTTGAACTCAACACGCCCCTCTCACATAAGACGCAGACCCTTGCAGGCGGTTCCAACATCAATGACAATTGCTTTGTTACCATTTGAAACAATAGACTTGAGTCTAATTCAACCACAAGAGTTAACTTAAAGAGTTGAGCTGCCCAAGCAATTCTAAATACCATAATATTAGGTAAGGCCGCCGATGCGGGAAATGTAGAACTCAACACATCTGATGCAGACCAATTAGTATGACGGCCTAACCAATCATTATGTGATTACTCTTTATGTGTAGAAGTGTACAAACTGTGTAAGAACTTGGTGGACAAAAGTGTTAGACAATAATAGTATTTTTATTATTTATGGTAGTCTTCGTATATTAGCCATCTTCTATAATATGTTGAGTCTTAATTATGTCAGAAATTCTCCCTACATATGCACCCATGTATCCTCCCTATTCTCTTGAGTAACTTCCATAATTAAATATTAAACATGCTATTAGAGCATGATCCTTCTTTTCCTCTCCCTTGTTAATATCAAACAAAAAAATCTGTTCGGCTAGGGTTCCTCCCTACCGCGGACAACTCCTCCTCTCCTTCTTCTAATCAACAATGTGCTATGACACCATCATCTAATGATCCTATGAATCGTCTCCATGCAGGCCTCAAGCTTTTTATTTGGAATCTGTAATTTCTTACTTTGGAAAAACTTGATAATACAAACTACCCTTCACGGTCAGCCACCGTACGGGCTTACCTCTTGGTTCATCGGCTTCTTGGATTTGTTGATGGAACACAACCAACACCCCCACCTCTTCTTATAGATGAAAAGGTTGTAGCGCCAGTGAAAGATGGCCCTTTGGTCATGAAGGCTAATCTAGCACATGAAATTTGAATGATTGTTGATGTACAAATTCAGGCATGTCTCTCTTAGCCATTGTTTCTCCTACAGTTTAGAGACATATTCATTCTCTACCACCTGATGCTGCGATTTGAGACCATCTTGAACAAAGGTATAATTCCTTGTCACAAACACATATTTTCTAGTTGAAACAATGGTTGCACAGTCTTCAGACGGGCAGTGATTCTATGCAAACATATCTTTATAGTGTTCTTAATATTATTGCTTCTCTAAAGCTTGTCCATCTCTAAACAAGATATTATTTTATGTGTGTTGTATGGCGTCCCTGGTTATTATGCTTCTCTAAAACAAAATATTCAAACTAATGTTGGAACTGTCACTTTTAATCAAGTCTATGCTCTCCTCTCCAAAGGTTTAAATGTGACACTTTAGAAAAAATTACAACTTGATGATTCTGCCCCTTCGTCATCTTCGAATGTTCATAATGCTCATTTCACAAATTTTGGCCAAGGAAATTTTTGTGGGAGGGGACGAGAATGCTATCGTGGTAGGGGAGGGTTGCCTCGTGGTGGTAGTTTCGTCGGTTATGGAGATCGCTACCCGCAGCAATAGTAGGAGCGAGATATTGTCGGCAGAGGCGGACTGCATGGTTGACAGATCAGCTGTCAACTCTGTGGTAAACCTAGTCATGCAGTCTCGAATTGTTGGCACCATTATGAGGAATCTTACTTTCGTCCACCACAGGCCTATTATACACAACAATCTGCTGAGCCAAGTCACAACTGTCATTTGGACACTAGAGCAAATGCTCACGTGATTTCTGATTTCTCTAGGCTGCAACACTCCTCTCCACATCAAGACACCAGTCTAT